AAGAAGAAGAAGAAGAAGAAGAAGAAGAAGAAGAAGAAGAAGAAGAACAAAAATAAGAGGTAAAAGTACAAAAAAGAAGGATGAAGATGAAAAAGGATGAAGAAGAAAACATTTTACTTTTGTTGTCTTTGAATAAAACATCTCACTTAAAACCACCAGTACAAAAAAGAAGAACAAAGAAGCAGAAAATAATTTACATGCTTTGATATTGACACGATTCGTGATTTTGCTCAAGAACACTTGAACGGAACACTTGAACAGAACATGACATTATAGTGAATTCAATATTTTAGATTGTTTGTTGTAAAAAACAAGACATTGCATGAAGTTACCTCGAGCTCTAGGACATCGTGATGACCATTTGTACCGTTTTCTAATCTTTTAAAGACCAAACGATCAATAACAAAAATAAACTGCATTCCACGTTGAACTCCTTCAAAAATATAGAGACATGCAACCAAAGAGTAAGATTTAAAATGTATTATTAATAATATAGACCTGTATAATTAATCATTATAGTAAGAGGGTTTATACATTTGTTGTAACAGGACTTAATAGTTTGTCATCATCGTAAAAAACGTACCTGAAAAAACGTGGGACATGTTCTTCTCCTCTTCTGCCGAGCTCTTTTCTCCGCTCTCTCTGAAACTCCTCGATATCATCTTTCTTTCTGTCCGCTTCATCCACCTTTCCGTCCTCCAGCATTCTATTCAAAAGAAGACGAGTTTAAAGAGTATCTTGACCCTGAATTCAAGTGAATCAGCTGCAGCTGTCTAATTTAATATTTTAGGGAGACCTCAGTCGTTTCTACTGAAGATAAAAGCATGGACACGTTTTCCCTCATCTATGGAGATATCTTTGCACCATCGTCTCCAGCTCGGCTCACCTTTGGTCAGGGCGCAGGCGGCTGTCTGTCGGAGGCAGGAGAGGCTTCAGGTCGGGGGTGAGCTCGTTCAGCTCCATGGCGAAGCTGGAGAAGCCGTAGTACAGCAGGTAATCCTTTGGCTGGGGATCTGTGAGGAGACACAAGCCGCTCAGGTTATGCTGATCAGCGGTTTTGGCAACAGGGAGTGCTTGATCAATTCCAGTCACATCAGATTTAAACCCTCAACCCCTAACGCAGAAATCACAGCATGAAAACCTTCAGGGACAAACAGGTTGGTTAAACATCTCCTGAGTGTTGTTTGTGATGATCGCAGACCCACTTGGCTTCCAGACACATTTCGGAGTAGGCAGAGTGTCGCAGAAGATGCCTTCGTGCCAAAGACCACCGAACCGGTGAATGACGCTCCCACTTTGGTCCAGCACCATGCCCTGCACCTCGTTCTTGTTCGTGTCTGAACCCCAGTAACGAGACTACAACGAAAACACAAACTGGTCAGACAGAAGCCTGAGATTTTCTGTAGAACCAAACACATTATGAAGAGAAGAGGGCTGAGTGGTGCGGGAAGTCGTTTCATTCACCTTGACGAAGGTGATCTTGCAGGTGCAGACGTTGCTTTTGAGGTTGCGGATGGTGACCTCTCCGTAATGCTCCAGGTAGCGCTGCTGACTGAGGACGTTGTGGATGCAGGTCACTACTTTGTTCCACTCGTAGTGATCTCCGTACCTGGACAAAACACCCAAATTCAAGCAAAGCGCCAAAATAAGTTTGTCAGTCAAATGCAAATGTTTTCTGGTTTTCTCTGTTTTACATCGTTGTAAACCGAGTATCTTTAGGTTTAGGACTGTTGGTTGGAAGATAACCTGCATGTAACGGCTAGTGTCAAGTCAGGTGTAGCCTGTTTACCTTGGAAGAGTGACGTTCACCATTCCTGTTGGAACAATCTCCAACGACTTCCCCCAGAATTTATTCTTCCATCGCTGGTCTGTTCGGGTCATATAAATATTGTTGAGAATAAACGTCTGATCAACTTTCTCAAATGCATTTCAGAACAAAGTTAGAGGATATAAATACACGTGATTACTACTAACCACTAACTGAAACCCAAATTATGAATTTGGTTTGATAACGGAAGAGTGTCACCTTGCCAGAAGGAGAAGTTCTCCGAGTCTGCATGGCAGGCAGAGATGGGGGGATGATGGCAGACCTGGTGAAATATCATTTACTGAGAATTATAAAAGAGATACTTCCAGTCTTTATGAGTGTGGAAGAAGAAGTACTGAAGAGATAGAAGGCTGCTGCTCTGACACTTGCACACATCAGGAGATAATTAAGTATGTTCGAGACCTTTCTCTGTCTCAGCCACACACTCGCGAGAACGTCAACTAAAGTTTGCGATCGCTCTAGCTAACTAATTTTCATAATGCTAATGTTAGCAAAAGAAAATATAAATGCTAAATGCAAATGTGCCCAATCTGGGGCTGGGTATTGTCTTTTAATATCCTTTGAGCTCTTCGCAGGCACCTCTTCTCACCAATATCACTGACGCTCGGAATCAGAAGCCAACTTCCCGTTTCACTGGGACTTTACAGACTTAAGAATAAGACATTATGTAATAACAGTATGTCTGGTAATGAATGTAGTGTTTGTGAGATACCTGCTCACTGATGAAACGAAAGCCCCGGTCCTCTCTGGCGCACTCGTAGGTCTCGCCCAGCACCGGGTTAAACGGCTTGTAGCGGTTCCTGAACGTTGCGGTGGAGTAACCAGAGATAGCAAAGGCAGCGATGTAAATCTGTCGGAGATAAAACAACATTTTGTTTCATCTTTATTTCATTGTTAAGAGAATAGGTTCAGACTTTTTGGTCTATTTTTCTATGACAACCTTGCTTCCCTTGAAGGTGTTGTCGCCATGTTTGCTTAACCCAGGCCCAGTATTTTTAAATATTATTTTAAAATGTACATGAACTTTTCCAATCAGTTGAAATAGAGTCAAGACTGGTGCACAGAAATATTCCAGGACGGGAGTCTGAGTTATATATTTAGGGAGCATTATCAACATCTCAGCAGGTGTAGATTTATCAGGGTTGCAACATTACTATGTTGACATAGTTTCCCATCTATTTCATAGATTTGAATAGTCTTACCATCCTCTGGTAGGGGTCTGGTGTGTTGTTGGCGGTATCCAGCAGCTCACTGTACTCCAGCTCTTCACACAGCCTCTGCAGCAAGTTAAGAGGCTCATTGAGAGGCGCTGGCATGGACACTCGAGCCAAGTCTTTACCTGAGGAAAAACACAGCACATAAGAATACCACCATATTAACATGCCGCGTGCGAAAGCTTGACAGGCCTAATTGTAACCAAGGGGGGAGGGGCTTAGAGAAAGGGTCAATTGCAGAGCGGTGTGACTTGCCGATGTTATTGTAGAGGATAGCCACGAGGCCCACGTGGCTGTTGTCGGGACAGTGAGCAGGCAGTGTGGTTTGCCGGCCGGTGCTCTTGGGAACAACGCTGTTTGGAGCCCTGGAAATGCTAGCACGGTACTTCCTGGTGGCCGATGCTGTGATGTAGGTGAAAGAAAACAATATTAATCATAGCAAAAGGGCAGTTTGATGTGTCTGTTCAGGAACTTTTTGGCGGAAACCATAGATTTCACTGTCTCCATCTTGGATTACGGCGGTCACCATGTGTTTTTTTTTTGCAACCGATGAATGGAAGTTACCATATTCGGAATGCTGAGGAATGACGCTGTATACGTCACACCACAGTAGCCCCGCCCTAAAGCATACCCTGCTTTATGGTCCATTTACAATGTTTACTGAGGTAATAAATCAAGAGAGAAGTAGAGTCATTTTCTCATAGACTTCTATACAACCAGAGGAGTCGCCCCCTGCTGGTAAGTACAGAGAATGCACGTTTTAAGACGCTTCCGCATCGTCTGCACTCGGCAGAACCAGAGGTTGCCGCCTGGCGGAAACGCAGCTAAATGGTACTCGTGTAAATGTACCCACCATATCCTTCCTCTGGCTCAGAGTTGGTGGTGCTTCCATCGCTGAGTCCCGACTCATCGAACACCTCAGAAGAACTTCCACAAAGGACGTCATCGCTGGCGTCAAAATACTCCGCAGCCGAATCTGCCACCGAGGGAGGCCCGTGGGATGGATGCCTCGCTGCTGCAGGCTGTCGACGGAGGAGGAGAAAGAGGAACAAAGAAAACCCAGCCATCAAAACCCACAGAGGGAATATGTGTCCGAGAATCCAAAAGACAGGCGCTGCATGGATCTTACCTCAGCTAATGTGTTGGACTGGTGGATGTTGTTGGTCTCCCAGACTTCCTGCAGCTTCTGCCTCTCCTGGGACAGAGTTTCATGCACTGCCTTCAGGGAAGCAATCACTGAGGAGGAATAAGAATCATTTTAATGCATATTCATGTCAGATTTCTTTTAATATGAACGTTTATAACATTATTCCTTTTGCATAATCGTCTCTGTGGATTCTCTGATCTTGCCTTGGATTTTGCTCATCTACCTACAACACAGGAACCCCGTCTACCTGTGTGTAAACACGCATGTTCTGTTTTTCTGACCTCGTAGCGACATGGTGCAGATGTCCTGCTGGATTTTCTTGCCCTCGGGCGACATGAAAGTAGGAGGGGACAGCTGGGAGGAGACATAGTCAGGGATGGAGGAGGCTGATGCACCGAGGTTAGGCGAGCTGCCCAGGTGACTGGAGGACAGCTATGAAGGGGAACAGAGAACGATTGAAAGGTACCATAAAACCACTAATTTGTGTTTTATACACTTCTGTTTTTGACATAATTATTTACACTTGGAACATCAAGTTGACTTCTTTTTTATAGCTCAAACCTGATCCTCTAGTATCACAGCCCTGCAGGTTTTCTGTCCCACCAGCTACTTAACCGTTTTCACTTTTATGTTTAAATCCGGTCCTGATCATTTGGTAAGAAAGGAAACCGTCAGAGCTGCAGTAGACCGAGTAGCCAGCAGGAAAGGCAACCAACAGCACTCTTGTTTCTAAAGAACAGGGTTGAAAACTACTGATCTAGCAGCTAAACAAAATGCAGGTTTACTTGAATAATCTAGTAATTTACTCACTCTAAGATTACAATTTTCAAAATCACGTAATTGCTATGCTCTTTTTACAAGATTCTCCGGTATATAAAACATGTTTTGGATGTTAAAAAAAAGAGGCAAGGCATCTACGATGAATACACCAGGTGTGATCATACAGAAACATATAATTCAGTGCAATTAAAACAAACACAGCATCCATTGTAAAGTTACGACAAGGAACTTTCATTTTGTTGATTTTGGCGGTCCCTGTGGACAAAGGTGGTATTGCACCAGAGTCTCTTAAGAAAACCTCTCATTTTACTGCAGCAGGGTCTGACAGTCTGCCCCTCTCAGTATGATTTAGAGAAGATTAACTATCTAGAAATAGCCAATTGTCCGGCTGATGGTCTTGTTTACTTATGTAGGTCATATATCAAATTGAGACCGTTTCATGAACAGTTAAAAGTTCCTTGTTGTAACTTTAATCTGAAAAAAGCATTTTGTCAAAATGAATACAGTCACAATTCATTTTCAGGCTGCTACAGAGAACATTTAATCATTTTCATGAATTAGGTTGTCTCTTCCCGTTGCCAACTCACCGATTTAGTAATCCCATGTATCGGCTTTGGGTTAGAAAAATTTCCCAAAATGTTACAGAAGGGTTGGGATGTGAAATTGTGAGTATTACGACTTAATTTATGGTTATAAACAATTAGCATTTCAAATCGCCCTAAAACACTGGTTGAAAAACAATGTCCGTCACATATCTTTGAGTGAGTTACAGATCATTCTTACCATTCCCAGGGCCTCCACTCTGGATAATGTGCGAGAGTGGCCCCATATCTTCCCCGACCTCGGCCTCTTCGGCTTCTCAAGCGAGAGATTCTGGATCAGATTATGAGAATAAGTCATCTTTACTTTCACGTGATGCTGCCCAGGGAGGAGCGGCTCCAAAGTGAACAGCGGTCTACCTGTATGCTGATGATGCGCTTCAGGTCTCCGTTCGTCAAAGTCTGACCCGTCTCCAACATCTGCAGCCTCTGGATTAAGCAGTTTATCTCAGAAAGGTCCAAATGGCTGCGGTTCAGCTCTGTAAGAAAACATGATGTATTTAATTATCTATTTATTGACAGGAGTTGCTGGTCTACCAATATATTTTAGAAGACACGTACCTTGAACACAGGTGTCTGGGTCGTGACTCTGCTGCAGCCAGGCCGACACTTTGCTGTTCACAGCGGCGTTAGCGGAGCGCAGCACTCCTGCCGATGCTCTATCTGGATGCGCCATGCCTGCAGAGCTCTGGTAAACACAGGGAAGAGGAGTTCACCTTGAGTCTCTTGTAAAAGTTGTCGTGTTACGTTTGACTTCACAGCTCCTTTGATAATCACCAAGTCTCCGTTTCTCTGAGCTCGTCCGGCCGTGGCGCCGTGAGACAAAGTGTGGAGGAAGCCGCTGTGAACGTGAGCCGCCTCATTCTTCTTGTACAGGCGGTGGGCTTGTAGCTTGGTTACCCAAATGTAGAAGAGCTCGTGGCTCTTTGCCTTGGAGAGACAAGAAAAATCATATATTTGTCTTTTTAATCTAAAGGCACTCTGGTTATTTGTTTGGACATGCTTACCTTCATGTGATAGAGAATGTCTCCTGCGTCCAAGTCAATCCGATTTGTCTTCTTGTTTATGGACATGACTGCGAGGCTAACAGCTAAAGAGCCCTGGACTCTTCCCCTGGAGACCTACAGTGCAAAAAGGTGCATTTATTTATCGTTGTTAAAAGTAGTAGGTGAAAAATCCCGTTATGATATTTACTTACATCTTGTTGATTTTTGGAATAACGCAAGTTTCCTACTTCCAAGACAAAGTATCGCTGAAAAAGAGATCAAACACCATCCTCTTAGACACCGACTTTATCTGTAAATCACACGAGGTGACCGAGAGGACGGTTTCCTCACCTTGTGCCAACCTTTCAGAGGCCACTTCCTCCTCTTCAGGAGATATCCTTCACAGATTCCCGGGGCGGTCATGTCGTGAAGACTGTCACTTCCTGCTTGGGTTTCTACCTGAAGGTCGTCAATCACTTCCCAGTCTTTGATAACCTATAAACGGTGTGAATGGAGAAAACGGGGAATATCCACTGACCTTTAGTCTTTTTAAAGACATTTAAAAGCTTCTAAATTCAACAGAGGGGTATTTACTGACTGATCTTATGTTGTAGAACAAAACGTTAAAATCTCTTCAGTTTGTGTTAATTTCAGGCATCTCACCAAAAACACTTTCAGAATCCAGAAGTGCAAATATGCTAACTCATTTCTGGCTCCCAGGACTCTTTGGCATCTTTACTGCCTTTCACACGAATAGCCAAAGCATCAAGGCTCACTAAACTCAGTAGTTTTCTGCAAAATAACGAATATAATCTCGAAAGGTCAGATGTCATTCTGGGGAAATCTTTACTGATACAAAGCAAGGACTTAAAGTTTCCTTTAAACAACAATCATTTACATAGATATACACATAATCCCTTTGGTGTTGTCTGTATCTGGCGCCTCACCTGTCTGGAGGAGGACCGGGAGGTGCTACTGCTGCGAGAGTGGGACGGCTTCCACGTCGGTGAAGACTTCTCCAGGCCGCTCGCCAGCGATGGGCTGCGGTTGAGTGAAGACCCGTGTGAATCCATGTCGGAGCGCCGACCTCAGACTCCCCCCTGCACTGGGATCCGCTGGTTGTGGAGAGATCATATCATGATGTTATGTCTCCTGTCTGTGTTACAACAAATAAGAACACACATCAAAGTAGCTTTCCGTGTGCAGTTTTAAGGCTGGAAATATAAATGTGAAGCCACAGGTATTGATTATGTCTCTTCTGTTTTGTTAAAATGTGTGTTTCTACAAAACGTCAGAAAACTGGGAAACTCCTCCTCACAAGTCCTTAAAGTCATTGTTTTACCAACAAACAGCTCAAAATACAAATACATTCATGACAGCTGCTGATGAAGATCATCCGATTTGATCAAAAGCTCCAGAATAGCTACTGAATGGACCTTTTGGTGAGATTGTTTTCAACACAAATTACATTATTGTAAATCAGAGAAAAGCACAATTGAGGAGCTGGAATCGTCTAAGTTTTGGCTTTTTTCCCTGATAAATTACTTTTGGTACGTCAATCCATTATTAAGTTGTTGCTTATTAATCGTCAAATAATAAATGATCTCTTAAACTTCATGGGCTACGTGGAATACATGAACAAACTGTTGCAGCGTAAATGAATTACACATGCAATCAATCCTTAAGTTGCAGTGGAGCCAGCTCTTCCTTTAACGTCACTCTTCTACCAAATGTTGAACATCTATTATATTATATCGTCTCTTCGTGAAGAGCTGTTTAATGACCCATGAGGACGAGTCGGCTCCACGAGAAAGAAACCAAAGTGAAAGTGTTAAACCGGCTCAACAGAGCAGGAGACGAGATGGGACTCTGTGTAATCCAGTTACCTAACAGAGCGACCTGGACACATTTTGGATATCCGGGATCCTCATCTAGACTGTTCTGGGTCTTAAAGACACAGAAAACTAAATATGCTTCACAATAAATGGGAGAATTTCTGACATGCATAAAATGCCTTTGTTTTGAGAAGAGCAACTTGGGCTTTAAAGTCTTTTTAATAAAAGTAAGCATATAAAGAAAATAATTTTCATTTGCCAAGAGGTTCCTTTATAATGTGCTTAAGGTAGTAAAAAACAGGAACAGGCTATGAAGAGTCATTCTTGTGGTTACTGTCACAGAACAATCTGTTAATCTTGAGTGTTTGAACATGAGTAAGGTGGTTAAAAAACCCAAATAGTCATTTTTTAAGAACATATCTTGTGGTGCTGCAGTGCAACATTCTTGTCATTTTGAGTCCTGTGAGAGAAATTGCTCAACATGAAATATGTCATTTTTCATGCCAGAATATTGATTGATTCATTTAGCTCTTGTTTACTTTCCTATAAGTGAATGAACTTCCTCACACAGGACACGGTCTGATTTTGCACAAGCTGGTGGAACAGCTTCCGTTCTTCTCGGGGGAGGATTACTAACCTCTGCTTAATTGGTTTTTCAGAGGATGTTTTTTTTAGCCACTCGGTGGAGGAGCAACACGAGGCAGAGAGCACCGACACAACATGAAAAGTACAAATGTGCAGACCACAGTCACAGCAGGACAACAGTGAGAACAATGTAACCTCGTCCGCTGGCTTATAAAATACTTGAAGTTATCCGCTTAGGTGAATCTGAAATGATCAATACAATAAGCACTTTTCAAAAACAAGTTTAAAGACATAAAAACTGAAAATATGTTGCGTTTCTGGCTGAATGGAAGAATATTTAAATTTGTTTAAAATGTAAATTGATTTATTTATTCATTTCTTTCTTAACATAATGAATTATTTTTCCTTTTTAAGAACTTTGATTAATTGGAATAGCTGAATGAGCTTTGCAGTCAATGAAGGAGATTGTAAAGTGATCGATACATTAGTTTGATGATAGATAAAGTTGTATAAAACGAATAAATGACTTTCAGTGCAGTACTTTGATGTCAAATGTGTGTTTTTACAAGTGAAAACTTCCATTGAACGTGTTTGTGAGACAGGGACCACATTTAGTTTGCATGCAGGAAACTGGATGTTTGCATTTGCAGCATTTTCAGTTGCTTTTAGTTCGTTATTCACTCAAGTAGGGAAGTTACTACATTCAGATAGTCTCTGTGTGTGCAACAACAGAATAGAATGGGGCGTTACAACTGATCTTCCTCTAAAAGGGGGCAGAAGCAGCGGGCTTGCTGTTATGTAAAGGCGGGACAGGACCAGAGTAACTGACCTCAGTGATGACAGCATGTGCTGGAAAAAGGATGAAAGGATTTGCAGGTTTCTGAGCTTGCTTATTACTAAAGACGGAACAAATAATATTCTACAGGTGAAAAAAATTGATTTTGATCTTATTAGAAAAGTTATGATAGTTTCCACAAGGTATAATCTCAGATTTAAAGATTTTAAACTTGTGTTTGAAATCCAAATGTCACAGTATAAGTTTCCCCGATACATGCAGATGAGGTTGTGCACTTTCAGGAAACGTAGATCAATTCCACTTCAAATACTTCAAATAAGCATTCAACGGCTGTTTAATAAACCAGAACGCTACTTTTCCTCATGTTTGATTCAGAAACGAGCACGAGCTCATTATGTGGAAATGGGAGCAAACAAAACAAGTCAACTGAGGTTTTGGCAACAGTCACAGAGCTGCATCATGAGGATGAGGTTAAAATACAGAGATTATCACCGCTATAATATCGCTGTTTGGAATAAATAACTGCAGCCAATACAAGATTAATAGAGGACTAAATATTGATACATGATTTAGCACAAACATTTTAAATAGTAAGGATTAAATCAAATTACAAGGAGTTTGTAATCCCAAAACAGAGGTGAGAAAACCTAACAGGACCTGTCTGATTGTAAGCACACTTGTGCATTTGTTTTGACTGACTCGCAACCAGGAAGCAGCCACACTGATGTGTTTCAGTGAAACTGCTTCAAGCCTTTTAGGACCCATTTCAACTATTAGGTGCTGCACAAACTCATCTAAAACCCGTTAAGATGTCACCGTCTCTGCACACAGATGAGGAAGTTTGGACTATTTCAAACAAACAATATAGTATTTTAACAATATGAACACGATGCATAGTATTTAACGTATAATATCTCACATGTTCTGCTGGTTTGGTTCGTTTTTTTGCAGCAGAACTGAACCCGAACTTTGCGTTTTCTGAGCGAGCTAATGTTTAAGAAGTCTTACCTGAAATCCACCTGTGACGCTCATCATCTGCGCCTGATTAATCCAACAAGTGTCTCATTTGGCGTTAAAGAAACTGTAGAAAATCACCATTCCGACGAAGAAGACACGTCGAAACACGTTTAAAAACAAAAAAAAGTCAAACTACAAGTTACATCCAGAGATAATCACTAACTCTGATCACATAATCTCGTGCCGTCTCCGTCGGTGGGTGACACGAGCTCCGTCCCTCCGAATCAAATCCAAGGAGAGCTGTGCGTCGCAGGCGGCGCGTGCGATGCGCAATGTGTCCTGGGCATTATCCGCATTAGCTGGAATTACACAGCGTCTAGCAAGAGGAAGTGTAGTGGAGAGTAAATCCAGCCAACCTCCACTCACTCTGCACACCTAGTTGACTCCGTTATAGAGTGAAGGCTGGGATCTTAAATAAGGCCTCATCATAATAGAAATAATCTATAAAGTAGGCCTACGGTATTTTAAAGGGGACAGAATGGACTAAAATATGTGTGTAAAAACAAATATGTATTGGTTTGTCAACCATTCACTGCAGGTCATACTTTACCCTTTATTTACCAATAGTGTGTAAATGTTGCCAAATATCTGCAGCTTATTTTTGTGATAAATACCAAAATAAAAGCATGCAATTTTATATACTAAAATACTTTTTATTTGTCAAAAAGAGTGACACAAAGCACCTTTAGACCTGAATTTAAATGTGCTTAAAGACAGTTTCTGGCATTGAGCATGGTGTTGAAGCAAGCGCCTGAGCAACGAGTGTCTCCTTCAGATAGGCGGGCTGTAATGGACTAACTGACCCAGATTAACATGCTGTAATCTGCAGATTAACCCATCAGGATCTGTGACCACTTGTGTTTATTTTGGCTGGAGTGGTTTTCCATTCTGCCACTGCAGCTACTTTGGGCAAATCAAAAGTAAAGTACATTTAACTCAAGAAAAAAACTAAAATGAAGACTGAACATTGTGTTGAAATAGTTTATTTATATGTGACAATATCCTTAAATAAAGGAAATGCTTGGGTGACACCCACATTTTTGCAGCACTGTCCATCCAAGACTTCCATTGAGGAGGTTGAGGTGCACTGAAAACAGTCAAGTCTGCAGCTTCCTTCATTCACAGCAGCCACGGCGCTCCTCTGGATGCACATTGTACGATTTAGTTGAATTCAGCACCAGTTGAATAAATTCTATCAATGTGTCCAACCCAACAGTCTCAAGTCATTCCAAACAGCTGGAAATCTGCAGCAGTCCTTGTGATCTCCTCTGCAGCTCTACGTGGCCTCCTCTGCTTTGGGAGCTCCCTCCGAGCTCTGCTGCTTGACGTACTGCTGGAGGAGGGCCGACAGGTGGGCCGGGTGGCGCTGCAGCAAGGAGACCGTGTGGGAGGTGAGCATCGTCAGCCCGCTCACCAGTTCGCCCTGGACGACAGACACCGACGGCAGTTTGGAGTAGCTCACCACGCCCTGAGCGCTCAGCAGTGCGTTGTCTATACAGGCTCCTGTAGACAGTAGAGCAAAGCAGTGATGAACGAGCTGCAGTTAAATGATCACGATAAGTTAAAGTGAAGTTCATGAAACAAGATCCAGGTGTTTTAAACCTGTTTTATCTTCCTCTACTGAAGGGAATTAATTAGTTAACTAACTGATTGGGCGTTAAAATATATTCTATTAATTACTGACATCTCATTGATAATAATTAAGACATAAAGATCCTTGCATGCAGGCACAGATGATAAACATACCGAGGAGCGTCATCTGTGGGCTGGCCCTTAGAGTCGACAGCATCTCCTTCACTTTAGGCTCTTCACTAACAAACAGAACTGTAGGACCGATGAACAGAGGAGCCATGTTGGAGAAAAGACCGTCTTTAATGAACGACCGAACCACCTGAAAAAAACAAAACAGGATTTATGATTAGAATAAACTAAAACTAAGATTAAAGGGGTTCAAAGTTGAGCAGAATGTTGTGTGTTTTGCATAAAGGAAACAGATCTCAGTCACGTTCTTATGAACTTTGAGTGATTATTTTACATGTATGCAGTAGTAGCCGTACAGATGACGCATGTTTCAAAGCATGAAAAACTACATTTTGTGTAACCAAAACAAAAAGCAACAACTTAAACATGTCTAACGCCAGAGATTGTGTGATCCTCGGTCGGTGAAATCATGTGGCTCTGGTCCATTTAGTTTGAAAGAAATGTTACACATGCTGGATTTTATAGTTTCAAAAGCCAATAAAACCACACGACTGGGTTGCCCTGGTGGCCTAGTAAGGACCTTTGTTGCATGTCTTTCCAAATCTCTCTCTCTCCTCCTACTAATTTCCCATCATCTCTCTACTGTCTGCTATCTAATGAAGGCATAAAAAAACTGCTTCACAGGAGCAAACTACAAGGACGAGGCTGACGGGCTGCTTGCAAGGTGACCTCACCGTTACACTCAACATGCTTGGTGCTCTTACTTTTTAAATAAAACAATTTCAGCATTACCTGGTTGGGGAAGAACTTGACACTGATGCCATGTTTATGAAGTCTGTGCTTGAGCACCATCATGTCTTCAGCGTTACTGGCGTTGTCCTGGACCACAGCGACCATCTTAGAGTCCTGGAACACGTTCTTCAAATTCCTCTTCATGACCACCATGAAGGCACTATCCTGGTGGAATAGAAGAGAGGAGTTTGTCTCAGAGTGAAGTGGAGCTGCTAACTAATGGTTTAAAACAAGAAAAAGAAGGATGGTTATCACCAATAGTGTGTATGCAGTGAGTTTGGGGACAATATGGCGATGATTTTATTCACAGATATCATTTGAAATTGTTCTATGTTAATCCTGAGTTTTTGTATTAATACCAAAACAACTATTTTGACTTTGTGTGACACCATTGTATGGGGAATAAGACCTTATTTTTATTTACCAAAATAAGTTAAACTTCACAAGCAGCTGTACAAGAACTTTGCCTAAATTAAATTCAGTCTGATGTTGGTAAAAGGACAAACTTGCCCACATACTGTTCTGCTTCCAACTTTGTGACAACAGTTTGGGGACGATATGGTTTGGGGCCAAAATACATGCGTGATACGCTGCTCTGTTACGAGCCATCCAGAGCTCTTTGATCCTCTGGGAGAGGTTTGCACACCACCCTCCCCCCGTCAGAACCAAACACAGAAGCAGCTTTCAGTTTCTATGCACCGCAGATCTGGACTACATTTACAGCCACAACCGTGTTCTTTTAAATGGAGGCTTAACACTTTTCTGTTTATTACTACCTTTCTGGGAGTCATTTAAAGAAGTTACATTCTTATACTTCTGTTCCTCTTAAATCTGCTGCATTTCTACTGTTATTTTTAACCTACAAAATAAACAGTTTCCTCCTAAGTCTCCATATCCTGTCCATGGACTTCCTCGATGTCTGACTCATTTGATGCTTGAATGCACTTTGCATGCAGAGGGTAGTAATTGTACTGAATAAACCTATTTTATTTATCCTCCTCTATTTAGTGGGAGGCTGGTAAATAATCTGAATCCACTGCATGGTTACTATACTTTAACTCTAAACATGCCATAAGACCTTGTACTGTAATATCACTATTCAAATTACAATGTAATGTTTGGTGTAGAGGCTTTTGGCCACGTAGTGTACATATGATATACAGCTCTAGAAATTAACTCAGTTCCATAAACAAATAGGCTATTGGCCCTTAAGTTAAAGGCTTAGAAGGGGATGAGTGCTACCTCCTGGACTTGTTTGCTTTGGGGTGGATAGGCTCCAGGTGGGATGACCCGGGCTGGAGGAATATACTCCGTGACAGCCATGAGCTTCTGTTTGAGTATGTGCATCGGTCTCCTGTGGCGAGTCACGGCCTTGGAGCCGTGCCGAACGGTCTGTATCAGGGGAAGCCACCCTGAGAGACACAAAGTCTGTTAATCACCTGCTAGCTAACACTGGCTAGCTAAACACCTCTAGCCTATCTGATACACTATTTAATATAAGCTAGCTAACACTGGCTAGCTAAACACCTCTAGCCTATCTGATACACTATTTAATATAAGCTAGCTAACATTGGCTAGCTAAACACCTCTAGCCTATCTGATACACTATTTAATATAAGCTAGCTAAACACCTCTAGCCTATCTGACACGCTGTTTAATAGAAGCTAGGTCTAGATAGTTTTAAAAAACACAGGCAACAAAGTACTAACTCGAAACAGACAGTTAGTTAAAGCTAGATGCGTTATTTACTCTACATTACCCTGTTTCGGTAGAACTTTTACACACAAGGTCGCCGCCATCTTTAACCGGAAACGTTATACAGGAAGTTACGACACACGAATGCTGTATTCACTGTCATATCGGACGAAAGAGGATCACGATGTGAAAAACAATCCATAGCCGGTGGAGGAAGTACTCAGATCCTTTGCTAAAGTAAAAGTACTAATACAACATTTTAAATATATAATTTTGAAGTAAAAGTCCGGTTTTTAAAATGTTACTTGAGTAAAGTATGTAAGTGAAATCAGGAAGATGTACTTAAGAGTAGAAAAATATAGTAAATATTTAAGTAAAAATAACAATATATTTCCCTTCTGAGATGAAGTGGAGTAGAAGCATTAAGTGGCATGAGAAAAAAAACTACTCAAGTCAAGTACAAGTACCTCAAATTGTTGTAATACATCCATGGATACAACAAGGTTTCTCACGTTAACAGTTTTTGGATGCTCTTAATAACGGATATGACTTGAATGTAGCATGACGCGTCGACGTGCCGTTTTAATCATCGACATAATCGCTTCTCTGATTTTGATTTTAAATCATATCGGCTGTTCACAAAATCACATATTTATTCATAACCAAACCATACGTGGGAAAATAATATTTTTAAAATCACGTTAAATAAAAATAAAAAGTTACAAAACACTTTTTACGTAAGCGAGGATGCGCGGTGACGTCAACGTCGGTTTGACAAGCATGAGGCGCACACTCAGTGCGAGTTTATTGCGGCTGATCAGGGTATTTGGTAGAAATCCGCCGTCTCGTGCCTCGTTTGCGCTGAATTTCTACAGGAAATCGTCGACTGAGCGCACGAACATGGACCTGAGTGACATGAGGAAGAAATACAAGGGAGACGAGGAGGTGAGTGGCGTTCAAAAGACGTGAGGTACCTGTGTAAAGGTGATAAACATATGACTTAACCCGGTATGTGTAACTGCAAGGTTAAGATGAAATAAAGACAGTATCAGGTGTACAAATACTGCTATATGTTCGAGTCTTTATTCTAATCAGAATATAGTATGTGACACAGAAGATATCTGTGTTTTCCTGCTGCATTAATGTGTATGTTTCATTGTAGCACCTTTATATCCTGTTGTCTAGGTTAATCTACATCAATGAAAAACTGTCATCTGAGAAGAAACTAAAGCTGTCAGACAAATGTAGTAAAAAGTACAACATGTACCTCTGAGATGTAGTGGAGTAAGAAGTACAATATGTACCTCTGAGATGTAGTACAGTAATAAGTACAATATATACCTCTGAGATGTAGTGGAGTAAAAAAAGTACAATATTTCCTCTGTGGAAGTATCATGAATTGGAAATACTCAAGTAAAGTACAAGTACCTTGAACGTGTACTGCCTGTTTCTCATACATGACTGATTATTTTGTCCACAGTGCTTTGAGGAGAGTCAGCTCGTCTCTCTGGACCCGATCAAACAGTTTGGAGACTGGTTCGATCAGGCCACAAAGTGCTCCGGAGTCGGAGAGGCGAACGCCATGTGCATCGCCACCGCAACCAAGTACGTAACACGGCCTCTTGAGATTAGAATTCCTTCTTAGTTTTCTGTTAACGACAAACTTCATTCCCGTGTGTCTGTGCAGAGACGGGCGTCCGTCCGCTCGTATGGTCCTCCTGAAAGGTTACAGCAACGAGGGGTTCCGTTTCTTCACCAACTACGAGAGCAGAAAGGGTTCAGAGCTGGTGAGGAACTGTTTCTCTCTGGATGTGTGCGGCCTTAAAACACACTGGAAGGATGATCCCGCTCTTTTATATTCCATTTACAATCATCAAACAGTTGTAAATGTCATAGAATAAGTAAAGTCTCAATAATCAAACACAGTAGAGCTGAAACCATTAATCAAATAATCAATTTAAGTCATTTTATGTGAGAAAAATGAAACAGATTCTCTGGTTCCAGCTTCTGGAATGTGAGGATTTTGCTGCTTGTCTCTGTGTTTTATGATTGTAAAATGGAATATTTTTGGAGGTTTGTTTGGACTGTTGTTTGGAACAAACAAGCAAACTTTAAGATGTCGTCTTGAGCTCAGGGGAAAATGTGTATTTGTATAGCGGACTCAGAAAACACACAGGACTTCATTAAGCACAGAGCCTAAACAAATACTGCACAGTAACATAAATACAAATCAATACATCATTGCATATATTTTATTTTGTCTATTTTGTGCATGAGAATTGACACTTTTCGGAGAGACGCGTCCTGCAACATATTTGTGTTGCTATCAGCTATCGTTGGTTTCATATTCATGTCATTTTTTGTATGCTGTGCCAACATACTGATGCACGTAATAAAGTATTTTATGCTTCCTCAAAGTAACCCAAAATGCATAAAATACAGACTTTTTTTTTTATACCAAAGTTTTTGTCTGTCAGATGAATCTATTTGTACGATATATTGTGGTTTCACTTTCTGCTCTTCTGATCTGTTCTTTGTCCACAGGAGAGCAATCCGTTTGCGTGTCTGGTCTTCTACTGGGAACCCCTTAACAGACAGGTCGGCATCTTCCATGTGCTCATCAAATAATACCTTTTCACACAGTAGATGTTTATTAATTATAATTGTTATGTTGCAGATTCGCATCGAGGGCACCGTGGAGCGAATCCCCTTCGAGAGCTCCAGTGACTACTTCCACTCCCGACCAAAGAGCAGCCAGATCGGCGCCATCGTGAGCCGACAAAGCACTCCGGTTCCCGACAGAGACGTAAGAACCAAAAGTGTGCCATGTTATGGAGCTAAATACATAAACATATGAGTCGTAACTGTCGCTCTGTCGTTTCTTTTTAGTATCTACGGCAGAAAAATGCAGAACTGGAGGAGAAGTACAAAGACACAGATGTGCCCATGCCTGACTACTGGTACGCATTACGTTTTGCTCTTTACATTAATTCAATCTACAGAATTATGGAAAAGGTGAAGGTACATTTTCCTTGCAAGATTTAAGAAGTCATATTAAAAGCAATAGTGCAACATTTCAGTTCGACGAGAACGTCAATACCGCTCTCTTATCTGTCTGATAACTCTGAAGCTACAGCCAGCAGCTGGTTAGCTTAGCTTAGCATAAAGACTGGAAGCAGGGGGGAACAGCTAGCCTGGCTTTATTTTTCAACCAGTGAACGGAAGTGACCATATTTGGACTGCGGAGGAGTGACGTAGAGACGGCGTGTACAGCTCATAATTTACTAAATGAACATCATGCTGGATTGAAGAAGACTTGAAACTAGAGATTGAGACCATAAACTCATGTTTACAATGTTTACTGAGGTAATAAATCAAGAGAGAAGTAGAGTCATTTTCTCATAGACTTCTATACAACCAGAGGAGTCGCCCCCTGGTGGACACTAGAGAGAATGCAGCTTTAACACACTTCAGCGTTGGCTTCACTATTCTGAACAAGAGATTGCTGTCTGGGTGAAACGGCCATATATTTTGATGACATCGGGTGTAAAAAGGCTCTGTATGGTTTTATGTTTGAGGGCAAAGTAAACTTTTGTTGGCTCAAATTAAATTTTCATTTCAGGGTCATCATTTTTTTACAAATGCAACTAAATAAAATCCAAATTTGTGGTTTAGAATGAGGCACAAATCTCAACTGACTCGTAGTCGAAAACAAAATGTTTTTACATCCTCTCTTCATATTCTAACTGTTTATTACATATATTTATATACATATATTCTAACAGGGGCGGCTACATCGTCAAGCCTTCCATGATGGAGTTCTGGCAGGGTCAGACCAACAGGCTCCACGACCGCATCGTCTTCACCCGGCCGGAGGACGGAGCGTGTGAGCCGGGGGAGTTTCAGCACGCTGCAGAGGGAGGCTGGGTGTACCAGCGACTGTCCCCGTGAGGAGAACCTCAACAGACCGTTGTGTACAGGAGGGGAAAAACTAAACCATCTTTACCTCACTGGAAGGAACCACTCATCTTTAAGTCCTGAAGGAAACCTTATATTTATTAAATAGGTGCTGCTGTGTGTAGGATTTATCAACAGGCCAAACGTCACTGCGTCGTCTTTTTGTTCTCGATGCCTGTTCGCATTATTTGGGTGTTTACCGTGGAGACAGAGGTGTGACACACAACCTGCCGACGGCACTATAAGCAAAAAGACGCTGCGTGCTTTCCAGAGAGAGAGCAAACTCCACCTGGTCCTGTCAAGTAATGATTGACTGCGACGTTGGTTATTAACATTTCGGTCGAGTGTCTTCACTTCTGCCATTGAAGCAGCTTCCTGTCCATTTTCTATGTTGAAGTAATCGGTAACACTTTGATTTCACAGGTTTCCTTAAAAGTTCCAAGACAGTTCACTGGAATTATAGTTCGTAATTACAGGAAAACTAGAGAAACAGTTCTGAGACAGTTGGTTGTGTTGAGTTTCTAAGCAGATATTGATTTTCAGAGAAATTTATCCATTTGGCCACTTTTATTAGCTGCACCTGAACAATCTCATGCACAATCTGTCTCCATTTTCCTTGTAACTATTACATACCAGGAACATTCTTATGACTCCATAGGCATCAATCAGTGTCTTTCTAGGAAATTAGAGTGAATTACAGAACCATAAAATGCAGTGTTACTAATAAATAACTTGAATGTATTAAATCAAGACATTGGGTCTAACTGCCTTTGAGATTAAAAGAGCTGATGGTTTGAATTGTGCCAACTATCATGTGTGCGTCTTGTACTGTTTGAAAATGATATTGTTCATTGTTTTTGACTTTATTTATAAGTGGAATAGAGCCAGTAATAAAGTTTAATTTGTACCTGAGGACTGAGTGTGTGTTTGGCCAGCAGATGTCAGCAGCAACACAACACATGCAAACAGCAACTAAACAGAAAAACCTAAAAGACTCGGACAGAAATACACATTAGCCAAAAATACGGTGATGAAAAAAATGACTAAGATGGCTTGAGCATACGTTTATTAAATTGTACTGTATGACAAATGTACATCCTACTTAAAACAAGATGTCACATTTTTGAAATGATCTTAACCTCTCGGCACAAACTAATATTTTACCATTGCTGCCTGTTCCGTTTGCTAAATCTTATTAGACAGATTTGTATTTGCATTATAATATATGAAGTGGTCCTTTAGGCCATGAACACAAACCAATATTTGGCAATTTCACACCAGTAAACAACTAATGTTTAGTAGTTTATGACAGTTTAGTAGTGTTTATTTATTTCAATAGAAAATTGATTTTCTTTAACACGGGCTTTCTGATACAGAAACAGACTCTTGCAGTGTAACTGGTTGAAAACTACACATTTATTGTTTATATTTTTTTGTATATGACCCACAATAATAAAAGTTTGGCCAGTCCTGCCCTACAGCTGATTAGTGGATTAATCTTTAATGACCTGACTCATTGTGTGATCTGATGTAAGGGATGCCATATTACAAAAAATAGAAGCACAGCACTACATATCAAATGTCATATCAAGTGTCCGCTCATCATTACATGGCACCAAAACCAGCACACAAATAAAAAGTACTCTTTCTATATTTACTCATCTTGTTACATTTATTAAAAACAAAATACATTTATTTTGCTTTAGGTTTATATAAACCTATATCTTTTCACAATATTTCAGACATCAAAATCAAGTCTCTATTTGGTCATAAAAATGTAATAAAAATTGACTTTGCTTTGGTTGCACTGAACACACGTTTATTCTTCTTGTGTATCATAAAAAAGGAGATTTAAATTCCAAAAATCTGCATCCTTAATAATAAAAATAATAAGTCAATTTACAATAACGTTACTGTTCATTCATAAGTATGTTTACATGAGTTTAGGCAGATACATAACCGTGTGAGAGAGAAAATGAGACAGAATGTCTCCAGCACTTTGTCTAATGGTTTGCCGATACCAGCTGTTTGTTTAGGTGTGAGTCCATTGTTTACAGTGTCTGCCTGGTTTCCATTGTTTACAGTATCTACCTGGGTGTGGCTCCTGGTAACAAGTGTGTCCACCTTGCACATGTAGCGCCACATGGCTGTGCTTGTGTATATTTTATCCTTTATCTAAGCTTCTGTGACACTGGTATACGACACACGTGTGATCCAGTGTGTGCACGTCTTTGTGCTATTTGTCAGTCTTCTTTTTATGGTTCTCATCACTGAGGTTGTGCTCTGCGAACAGATTCGGGTTCTCGACCAGCGTTGCGCGGACCTTCTTCTTTTCCTTGAAGCGTCCAGAGTTGGACACTTTGACCTGGCGGCCCTTGGTGGCAGATTTATCCACAATCTTCTCCAGCCGGGCATTGAACTGGCTGTCCATGTGGTCCGGAGAAGGGTTACCACTCGAGACGTGCTCTTTGTTTCCGGTGTTACTGCCGTACTCAGCGGGGATCTCATACAGGACTTTGGATTCAGATGTCTTCTTGCGGGAGAAGGTCAGCTTCCACCAGCTTGAATCAGCCATGGCACCAACAGAGACTGGAGGACTGACCTGGAGGGCACAGAGCACATAGTGAGGACTGGAGAACATAACCTTATTTACAATCATTATTTTAACAAGTGGCATTAAACATTTCAGTGAGCGAACTGTGACATAAATTCATGGATGGATTACTGACCCCCCAGTCTTCACCTACAAAATGTCACTCAAAGATACACGCACTAACCAGGAAGAGACTCAAAATGACCAAAGAACCCAAAACAGCCAAAAGAGAAACACGGCAACTTTATAGTGTCACAAAACAATTACAAAGAGAAACACGGCAACTTTATAGTGTCACAAAACAATTACAAAGAGAAACACGGCAACTTTATAGTGTCACAAAACGACAAGACTTACAAAACTACAAAGACACAAAAACAACCACAGACAAAAAAAAAAAACTACAAAAGAACAGACCATTTACAAAAATATAAAATTACCACAAATAGACACAAAACTACAAGGTGACACAAATAGACTCACAGGGACTATGTAAAGGTGCAAAACTACAAAGAAACCCAAATCAACTACAAAAAGGATGCAAAACGACCAAAATAAACCCAAAGGAACTACAAAGACACAAAACGACCACAAAGAAACACAAAGGAACTACAAAGACACAAAACAATCACAAAGAAACCCAAAGGAACTACAAAGAGACAAAACGACCACAAAGAAACACAAAGCAACTACAAAGACACAAAACAACCACAAAGAAACACAAAGGAACTACAAAGAGACAAAATGGCCACAAAGAAACACAAAGGAACTACAAAGAGACAAAACGGCCTCAAAGATTCACAAAACAATTACCAGGAGACAAAAAGTGACCACATACAAAAATAACTACAAAAAACAACCTTTCCAAAGTGGCACAACACTTTTACAAAGAGACAGAACCCCGCAGAAAGATGCGTAACGACTACAAAGAGACACGAAACAGCAACAAAAAGAGGATAAACAACTATGAAGTTTGTGAGTATTGCTCCATGTAGGAGAGGTGGTGGGGCCCGTTTGCATGTCTGTGCCCTGAGGCCCATTGTCTCAGAATCCACCCATTGATGCATTAAATACTTTCCACCTTGCATCTTTATTGAAGCATTTAGACCATGCAAGATGAAAATGTCATGATTTGTGCTGCAGCTATTGATATATGAATAATGTATTATTTTGAAATCCCTCTCATAATTGATCTGCAGGTTGCTCTTATTAAAGAGCAGTACAGCTCACAAGTCTCAGAGCTCGAGACCTCGAGAGTCGACAGTAACTGAGGCTTCTTTTCATCATCTGTGAGTAGCAGGTGTAACATAATGGGGGGAAGAAACCGGACACTCTGCTCTCAGCTGATAAATTAATGATCATCTGAAGAGTCTCGTCTGTCTCCTCCATGTGATCTGATATGAAGTCAGAGGACGAAAGGCCTTCGGCCGATGTGGAAGCTGTTGTCTTAATGCTGAACCAGGAGCTCGGTTATAAAACAGGGAAGTGAAGAAGACTATCGGCAGCATCACAGAATAACATCTGGATTGTCTATTTATATGATTTCAGATAGAGGAATTCAGATTTAGGGATTTATCAAAGAGGCACAGAGATTATCATCATTATTCAGCTGTTATTCTCGGTCTCCTGCAACAGTATTGCTCAAATGACTTCCTCATGAAATGAATATTGACTGTTTGATGTATTTGGATCATAAACAGGTGAACGACATGTTGTTAAGATATCACACATAAACAGGCCATATTAACTCAAGGTGTACTGCCCAAGGATGCAAAATGAATATCAGTGTAAACTGACAATAAAATGCATTTATATTATATCATTTTATTAACTGTAATCGTATTATCAAATCTTATCATTTCGATTTATCCTATCCTATATCATTTATCATATTTTCATATATTATAGTATCGTATCAGCTTATTGTATCTTGTCCTAACTGTACTGTACTGTACCATTTAACCACAACGTCCTTAGTTTGATTATGATTATGGCTGCAGACCTTTGTTTGTCTCAGTCTCCTCCATGTTCCTTGTATGTTAAATGTCTAAAAAAGGGCAACCGAAATGCCCAAAACGTGTTCATTTACAAAGAAAAGTAACCAAAAGCTACTCTCTATTTGTAACACCAATAATAGATAAGACTAGTTTGTAATTAAAATGAGGTCAACTTGTTAGTTGTTTCAGATCTAACAGTTTTTAAAGTATCTTTAATTCTTTCTCTTGATTGTAGAATTCTTTTTAAAACTCATTTCAAACTGGGATCAACTTCGTATTTGAATAAAAACAGTTTATGAACCAAATTTTACGAGTTTCACAATCGCTACGATTTCTCTATTATGAGGGCAGACAGGAAGCAAAGCGCCACACTAATCCTCATTTGGTGTGGTCATTTTATCCTGCAGCGCCTATGCAAATACACAGTCCCTTTGTAGAAACACTCATCTTACTCTTATCTGACCCACGTGATGTTTGGCACCTGGCACCAACCAGCAGTACTAAGGTTCAGGAAAGACAGTAAACAATTGATTTAATGTTGTTGTAGTATAGAAACTGTAACACGGTTACTGAGGAACATTTGATCACATCAGAGCTCTTGTGTTTTATTATTCTGGACCTAATTGACCCTGTGGAGCTTAATTACACTCATTTCATTGACACTCAGGTAACAGGTAGTGTTTCTGCTGCAAAATCAAGTTAATTCCTTTTTCTGCCAAATTCTGCAACATGGATGTGCTCATTTTTTAAGAAAATACAAGTTCCTCTTTAACAAATGTTTACAGAACGTTTACATAGTATTGTTGACTTTACATGAAGCAGTTTCTGCAGAACAAAGTAGGGCTCGAGCAGCACTTTACTCTCTCATTGGGCTACAATATGCACACATATTTCTTTCAGCGTGTTTGACTTGGATGTGACCTTTGAGACAAAAAGCCCTGTTGACATAAAGGAGGCCCTCCATAGTTCTCTTTAATAAGTTACCGTGTATTGGGTTATGTGTGGGTGAGCCGCCCAGGCAAAGCCTCAGAGATCACAGCAGGAAGGGAACATGCCGTTTTCGGAAATCACTAACCAGACGCAAAGCCTTTCAATGGCACAATGTTTGAGCTTGAGAGGAGGCTCCAAGGGCACCGAGGACTCTGCTGCCTCCATAATAGAGCTGCAGCTTCATTAGACTCTCAGGTTTCCTCCGGTATGCCAGCTCCTCTGCTGACCCGTAACAGCAGAGTTGACCGAGTTGATGACGAGCCCCTGGGCGTTCTCTGCCTGGTATTTACAATAATGCAAATGTGTCTTTTTATTATTTGTTTTGTGGGCTTTTTGAATTCACAGAAAGCTGAGGGCCGACTTTACCTGGAAACTTCACTGCAGTTATGTCAACACTCCTGATCAGACTGAAAGGTCCAGAAATGTTATTAAATGTATGACTTAGCGTGTAGCAATGTTTAATTAAGGAAGATATTCTCAGGCAAACAGTGTCACCAGCTCAAACATCACACAACCAACGTCATCGGTTAAAACACGGCTTCAGATTACATTTTTGACATGTTTTTCTAATATTTCTTATTGGCAGACATTGAACGTTTGTCTCCATCTTGTAGGGCTCCAACCACACATTATTTTTTATATTAATCTCAGTCATTTGTTCTATTAAATGTCAGTAAACTGTATTTAAAAAGCCGTTACAATCTCCTGTAGGTCAAGATGACATCTTACAATGTCATGTTTTGTCCGACAAACAAGAATATTCAATTAATTAATTATATAAAAAGGTGGAAAGCAGTAAATTCTCAATGTTTGGCTTTTTTGCTTAAAAACGGTTAATTGAGAATTAAAACAGTTTCAGATTAATAGACTTATTGTTGCAGTTGAATAGTTGGATTGTGGAGCAACATTGGAAATCAATCTTTAGGACTTCATCGCCCCATGCTGAACAGAGATAGTGGATATATTAGAAAGAAACAAACTAAACCAATTTGAAGTTTTTCTGGATCCATTCTGATTCAACATTCTGTTGAGCGTATAAACCAACGAGAACAGTTTCTGCAGCAGCATGTTGGAGACATAAAGAAGCTTTAAAATGTTCTTACCTTCTTGATGACGAGCTGGCTGAAGGAGATTCTCTCAGACCTGAAGCTGTCCCGCCATGCTTACGAATCTTCACTTCTGCTCGGTTTTATATTATTTTTCTTCTCCTCCTCAGGTGATCGTGCACAGGTGCAGCATCTCTCTCTCTCCCCCTCTTTCACCTCGGTACTCTCTCCCCTCTATAGCACACACCCTCCTCAAACACACACACACACCCTCACCTAAAACCTGCCCCGGCTAAGTGCATGAGCGAGTAAATGTTGCAACCATGTGATTTAGTGAGGCCGTCCCAGTCCACATCAAGATTACTGACAGCCGGGGTAATGTGAACTAGAGGTGAGCGGCCCTCAAACTGCAAATAAACTCCTGTTATCAGTCACAGTCTTGTCTTAATGTGGAATTTGGACACAGAATAAAGTCATCTTTGTGTTTGTTTTTTCTTTTAATTGCTTTAAGCTGAAGACAGAAAGATGTAGGGCTCTAAAAAGGTCAACTGAAGGAGGTGAATGCCCCTGATGCTTTGCATGGGTTGCGTAGACCCAGATATCACGGGAAAATAAACGCCGTCTTGTCTGGTTCATAACATTGTCCAGAGGAGCTCCGTAAACTCAAGCTTTATATTTGATTAGTTTTGTGATTCACCGTCTGGTTTAAATATATGTTCATTGTAGACTGAACAACAAAAGGACCATGTCATATACGGTAGTCTAATGCGCTTATACTGGGGGTTATACGGGAGTTCCAGATGCATGTATAGGAGACACAAGGTGATCCATTAAACGGAGTTGAGCAAACTAAGAAGCCTCTATTGCTTTACTTTACAGACCACAAACAACTTTCTTCATTTATTAGAAATATCTGTTTTCATGATCTGATATTTCCCTCAATAGCTTTTATTATGGAAACAATTAAAGTCAGAGAGCTTTTTACATCGTTTATCATCATTTCACGTGTCACGTGAGGCGGATCATTCCTGAGTGTTTGATGAGTTTTATCATTTAAGAGAAACAACAATCATATTCTGGGTGATATTAATAATGACGTCACAATCACAATTTCAAAACGTACAGACGCAAATAATTCATAAATAAGACGATCACATTCCGCCGGTAGAAATGGATCCTGATCTTATAAACAGAACACAGAACACAGTTTGTTAACAGACTACAGAGAGAAACACCTCTACACTGATGATAACTTTATTAGTTATTAGTGTTATTAGTTACTGTTATTAAGTACAGTGATCATGTGAACAGACAAACTTATCAAAAGTCTCTCCAGCTGTTAAAGCCGACTGACAGCTGATCCAGCTGCGATCTGATCCTCTGTCATCAGAAACAGACGTCGCTTCACGTGACGCAACTGAGGAAAGGACGTCTCATGTCTCTTAAAACATATTTCCTCGTTCCTCTCTCCTCGCATGGTTTCCTCCATGCGTCCCTGGTGGGAGGGACTAAGACGCAAGGAAAGGATTCAAGGGAGGGAAACGGGGATGCAATTAAGAGACTTGAGATGTACCCTTTGTTGCGGTACTCAAATCATCACGTTACGTCCCGTTGTGTGCGTGATGGCGTCACATCACGTTGACAGATCCCGCCTCTTTCCACGTCACTTTCTCTTTTTTGCAGTTCTGTCAGCAGAGGGTTTCCTATGCTGAGTTGCACTTGAACCGGAGTAAAGATGACCGACCGGGTGAGTTTATTTAAAGCGAAACTTAAAACCTAAACACACCACGAACAGACAACACTGAATACTAAACCCTAGCGTGTACTTTAAGTACTACATACTTTCTTTTTTAAACGCGTAAAGTGAGCCAGAATCAGATGTCAATCAAAACTTCGTAGGCAACCCGGAAGTAGAGGAGTATCATGTGACCACTGCTAGCATGTAGCTCTGTTACCATTGTTGTTCTAGATTTAAACTGATGTATTTAACATCCACCGAGCAGCCAGAGGCGATACATTATATAATAGTCAATAGCGTTATAGACTTGGATATAAAAATGCTACTGTTAGATGTAATTAGCTCCAGTTTAAAAGGCTAAATCAATGAAGGAAGTGAAGCTACATTAAAGGAAACAAGAAGAAGAAGAGGAAGAAGAAGAAGAGCCCTAAGATAAACTGGACTGATGTTGAACTCTCTGTTAACTCCTCACATCAGTGGCTGTTTTTAAGTAGCTGAAATTTAAACAAAGTAATTATAGTAGCAATACTAATTACTCAATGCAGCTGTTTATACACAGCTGTCAGTTTATTAGGTACACCTGGTTCAACGTGAAAGTATTGTAGTTTAATACAACAGCTCTGTAATAAGTCCCAGCTTCATGGACGCTATTATGGCTGTACTTAATTATTTCTTTGTTATTTCCTATTACTTCCTTCAGAAAGTATAGAACATTTCCCAGAGCCCAAGGTGGCGTTTTCTAATTGCTATCAACAGTTTTACAATCTCCAAATAATTAGTTTAATTCCACAGAAGGCTAATAAAAGCAGTAAATATTTGTGTAAAAGAATCTGGATCCAATAAATTCTCATATTCTTTGAAAAAATAGGTGCAACTGCAATATTGTTATTGTCAATTGACTAATCTGTGAATGATTTCAGTTCAGTTTTTATTTACACTAGTTTAGAGAGTTTGACAGAAATACAATCTGAACTCCAGGTCCACTGTCAACCTGACGGCAGTGCCTACATGTACCAGGATGCATTGCTCATTGCTGATTATACGAGTCAGCCCAAACTCTGTGAAATGTATCCTCGTCCATAACATCCTCTGCACTCATATTTTGGGATGCTGTTTGAAACATAGCTAATTTGCCATACGAACAAGGAAGTTCAGCAGCTACAGCTACTCCGCTTCCTGGTTCACACAGACTACATTTACCATCAACCCTGATCCGACGTCCACATAAAAGGTGGCGAAGTTTCCCTTGAACTCAATACAGAAAACTTCATCAAACACTACAGTCTCCAAAATGGCCGACAACAATAACTAAACATTGTAACCTTCATGGAGGCCCGTTGTTTTCGACTGCGTTAGTTGTAGCTAGATAATGAACTGGTAACTTATTAAAACTATTTATCATGTTAGGTTTCATCTTTCTTGTATGCAAAGCACGGTTTTCTTCTCAGCGTACTATAATGAGAGAGTCGCCCTTGTCCTATAGATCCTTGGACTTTTCTGTGCCTCATTCACACTTTACATTTGAGCTGATTACATGAAAACAATGCAAGGAATGTCCTTCACACAAGCTCTGGGAAAGACTTAAAGGCACTATTCCTGAGTGTCAAGTTAATGCTTATTTTAATGTCATTCAAGTAATTACAAAAAAACAGCTGAAATGAAAAATATAATTTCTGTTAGCACCAGGGAGACAAAACAGGCTAAATGTTTCCAGATTTCTAAGTTTTGCTGTCAGTTTGTGTGTCCCATCATTCCTACAGCAGGTAATATTATATGTAACAACTGGCCCTAAAATGATCTTCAGAGCCACGGTGGTTGGCCTGGATGCTGAAGTACTTGAAATAAGAGAAGTTAAATGTTGAGACGCAGGTCAGCGAGCCCAACTACGGTGGCCTTCAGGTAATGGAAAAAGGCAAAGGGCCCGTTCTAGAACCAGTGTTTGGTTTGTCTGTAGAAATGGCTTTTAGAGGACTTAAAACAACAACCTTGAATGGCTTATTTACTACTCAGTAAATTTGGAGTAGCAGCTTTAAAAATCCCACATCATTCAAACACTGCATAATCTGTCTATGTTACTTCCTCGGTGGAGTCACCGTCTACATTTTTCCCGGCTCTCTTTTCAGGTTATGCAAGCGGCTCGATGCCCAACAGAGGAACTCTCGCTGACCAACTGTGCCGTCATCAATGAGAAGGAGGAGCCACAGTTTGGAGAGTAAGTGGGAGGAGCAGTAACATCTGGGGTCCCACTAGTTCTGTACCACACTTAATCCTCTTTTTTTTGTCATCTCTGTTCAGACATGTGACTGTGCGCAACTTAGCCCACATGTATGTGTTCACCCTGAAGAAGCATTGCAGCGTTAACCCCGGGACCATTGCCTTCAGCCTGCCACAGGTAGGTTCAGTGTTTTAAGAGCAGAACGTCGACTCTCACGTCTTCTCAAACATTACTGTGTCACCTGTGCATCGCTGCTGAACAGCTTTCTGCAAGTGTCATCACGAGTGATTGATTTCATCATAAGTAGCTACCCGTTGTTCCTCAATGCTTCATGTTCCTTATAAAATGAAATGCCACTGTGTCTGTTTTCTGTCAAACTACTTTATTTATTTATTTATTTATTGGGGATTTTCCTTAACAAAGCACTGGTGAACACTTGCATGGTGATGTTGTTGTCTGTGAACATTGTATTGTTTAAAAAGAAAATAGCAGTATGTGAGCTGATATTCACTAATGTGTTGTGTGGTTTTCTGGGAGCTCTTTGCACCGACATCTTTGTTTGTCTCAATCTGTCTGTTCCTGCTCTTTCCTTTCTTTGCCTGCTCTTCCTCCGTCTTTATGAACAGCCGCCACAGCACACAGGTACTACTGTAACCTCCTCAAGATGCTCTTATTTCACCACAATAATTCATTCAATAAGATCCATTGATTGACTCGTATGTCAAAAACTCAGCTTGTGCAAAAAAGAACGAATTAGCTAACCCCTGAAAGATGTTTTAAGTATGGATCTGATTTATACATTTTAGTGTGAAGAAGTGTGGTGAAATAAGTCCATGTTGCAGAGGAGCGTTACACTGATGTCTCAGATAATGTAGTGGTGACGTGTCCTAATACAAAAGAGACACGATGATGAAAGGAACTAAATCAATCACTGTTCTACTTTTTCTTTGCAGAGAAAATGGGCCGGCCTATCGATTGGACAAGAGGTTAGAGGTAAGCGTCACGTGTAAAGCAAAACACTGATAATGTTCTCGATTTTTCTCATCCTCAACGAACCCGGTCTTTCTCTCTTTTCACTGAATGCCGTTTGAGTCACGGACACCTCGCCGCCGTGGACACACAAGACATCAAACCTCAGACTTTGAAGGCTGCAGAGAAACATCTCGCCGCGCTCATATCCTACAGATTACCAGCTATGCGTGGAGTTCAGGGGGTTCAGCTATTATCATGGTGTCATGAGAGGCGGAGGGAACATGATTTACCCGGCGCAGGGAGAGACAGTAGAACAATATGGATGGGTGGTGTCACTGCACATCTGTCTGAGATGCTGGCCGGCGTCCAGAGAAAGACAAGAACTGTTCTTTGATGAGGTATTATCCCTGAGGCCAAATGATGGGCGCTATTATGACGCTGTCTGCTTATCAGGAGTGAGGAGGAGGAATGAAAATCGAATCCACCGAGTGAAAGAGCCTCGTGATGCCTTCATCTTTTTTGACATGTTCTGGAAAAAGAGAACAGCAAAGCTCCTTTTTATTATTTGATCTGTTTTACAGCAACAGAAAATGTTTCACTACAATCTTCAGTCTACAATGGCGACGTCTGCTGGCCAAACCCTGATTATTACATTTGTTTGGAAGGATTAAAAGTGAGGATGAGAATGTTACAATGAAACATAAGAATACAAGTAGTTTTACTTCTTTAATGTATCGTTTTCTATAAAGCGTGTATTATCTACAGCTCTGTTTTTAACTACTGTGGCTGATTCACAGGAACGTCTCGTATTCAAAACCACTGCAGCACCTCTTGGAATGTAACGTTCAGGGCGGTCGCGTGATGTTTGGCGTGGTTAACAGCTGATAATCTGTCAGATGTTGTGCTCGGTGCCCCAAGTGGCAACAAAATGTTAGACAGCAGTTCAAAGGGAAGAGGAAGACCTATTCTCCTGCACAGGAGAACCACCACTGACCGACCGCTGCTGTAGTGTCTGATTGAGTGAATACATACCATAATTATCTTACCTTGGGGGTCAAAAATCTTGACAGGTACATTTCCTAATCGCTAGCGGAGACAAGATTGAAGCAGTTGTTGGACCACTTGCTGCCCCTACCGGTCGGTGAAGAGAAGTGAGGAGTCGGCAGTCAATGACGATATGAAACAGTCGATTCAATACTTTAAAAAAAATGGTGGATCACCTCAACGACAAGAGGTCCTTGAGCCAACAGTCTTAAATGTGCACCAAACATATTTGGCTGATGCGGGATTAGCTGCACGAGCGCCTGCCAGAGATAATAATCCAGATGTTGTCGTCTAATCTGTAAACCTCAGCACCTATGTTTGTGTTTTTACCTCCTTACAGTAACAAACTACAAGTTTGACAAGTCCAAACAGTGTATAAGCACCATGACGGTGGAGATTGACTTCCTGCAGAAGAAGAGTGTGGACAGCAACCCGTACGACTCCGACAACATGGCCATGGAGTTCGTCCAGCACTTCAACAACCAGGCCTTCAGCGTCGGGCAGCAGGTGCTTCACGGGGTTCATGATGGGTCAACCTAGTTTATTGTAGAATGTCCTGTGCGATGTGTGTTCACAGTAAAGCTCTTTGCATTCATGTATCGTAAATGTATTGTAAAGATCTTCTACGCTGGTACAGCTTTGTTCCTTCTGTTTGTTGTGATGTTTTTCTGTCCTTTAGTTTGTGTTTAGTTTCTGTGATAAGCTGTTTGGCTTGCTGATTAAAGATATTGAGGCCATGGACCCGAGCATCCTGAAGGGAGAACAAGCCTCTGGCAAGAAACCGAAGGTATCCGGCCGGCGATGTTTGTGATATTCTGTGCATGAAAATCATTGATTTATTATTATTGTTTTTATGATTTTTAATATTTATTTTTAATATTATATTTATGTATGTGTTGACCATCGTCTCCTTGATGGTTTCTTTCCTCAGATTCAGATCGGTTTGTTGCTGGGAAACAGTCAGGTGATTTTTGAGAAGTCCGAGACCTCGTCCTTGACTCTGATAGGTGAGTGTCAACAATACTCGGCAAATTTCAACAGTTAGATATATTGTGTGGTCTAACAGCCAGTGCAAATGTTGAACACAGCCGATAGAGCCGTCATGATTATAGATGGAGAGCTTCTAAATTCACTGTTTTTAGAGCGATTCTCCACAAAACCACAAGGTGGCACACTTCACTCATTTTGCTTCTCCTTCCTTGTTGTGTCACAACATCAGTGGCCACCTGACAGGCTGTTTATCTCCCTGTGATATAATCCGCTTATATGATTATTGTGATCATTTATTTAACACGTCGTCAAAAACAGAAATCTAAAATCTTAAACTTACCACAAACCAAAAGACAAAACAGACAGAAGTTGTTCAACGCACCGTATTCATTTCAATGCAAACAATGTTTTTGGGACTCAAAACAACCCCGGTAACACACCGCTGTTTCCTGCGCAATAACTCAACATAATGATATGATTTCATTGAAAGATGACAGATTGTGATGGAATCATACACCGAGATATTATGACACACAAGTACGTTGGCTAAATTGATTTTAACAAGCGCATACTAAGTCAGATTTCTCCAAAAATCTGATAATTTTGCACTAAAGTTCATAATAAAATGAGAAAATAGTTAATTTGTCAAGTATTTAATTCAAACAGGAGACTAAAAAATAGGTTTATCCGTGTAGTTATTGTGTGTAGACTATTTATTTATTTATTTATTTATTTATTTACCAGAAATTCTTCTGTAAATCCCCATAAACCTTTATGCTCTCCTCTTGAGCTCAACTCGTAGTGTTTGATTGTGTGTCTCCCCTCCAGGGAAAGCCAAGACCCGAGAGTCCCGCCAGTCCATCATCAGCCCAGACTGGAACTTTGAGAGGATGGGCATCGGCGGCCTTGACAAGGAGTTTTCTGACATCTTCCGCAGAGCCTTCGCCTCGCGAGTCTTCCCGGCAGACATCGTGGAGCAGATGGGTGAGTTAATCACGTCTTTTGTTTCACCTTTTCATTCTGTCTCGCTGTCAATCAAATGTATTCCCCAAAAACACAATTATGTTTTAAGAAACACTGTTGTGTATCTTTCAGCATTCATCTGGTGGAACAGATTAGTAAATAATCACTGTTTTCAGTTGATGTTTTCAGCTTGTGTTCAATCCTTAAATCAACATTTTGACAAACGAATAATTCCTTTTGAGGAATGAATCGCCGCCTGAATCAGAGAGAAACTCAGCGATCAGCTGACGAGACAGCGTGACTTAAAACCCCGACAGTGATCCCTGCACACACTCATTGATCGATCTTTGACAGCTGTCAGATTGACGACGTGTGACTCAAAGGCCATCAGATCTTTGTGACTCATGAAACCCCCCCCCCCCCCCACACACGCACACCAATCCTAATCCTTGCTCCCAAACCTCTGAGTTTGACAAACACGCACACATCACTTAAATGCCCACAGCGCTCCAGGGTCGTGTGGCGGCGTCCGGCGGCGTGCGAGCTGACCTTTTAGCCGGGGCGCCTGTGTGCCGGAGTCGGCCTTTGGCTGCAGCCAGCTGGCTGCCGTAATGAGATGGCGTGCCCCGATAGAGCGTCCAGCTAAAGGTAAAGCTGTAATTGGCAGGCGTGGGGAGCCGCCAGAGCAGGTGATGACAGTTTTTTTTTTTTTTTTTTTTTTGGGTGGAGCAAAAGTCTGAAAGTTTCACCTTCTCTCCCCTTTGCTCCCAGAGAGGTGAAGCGGGACAGACAGATGCTTCAGCGCTTTCTCTCCCAAACACAACCACATGACCCCACCCCCCCCCCCACCCCACCCCTGTTCTCCTCTCCAACCCCCCCACCTGTCATCCTTCAGCAGGCCCAAATGGCAGCTCAGATGGTTATCATGGGCCTCTCAATTAGTCTGCGCTAAATGTCATTAAGCAGCTGCAGAAGGCCATTAAAAGTCCTACAGTGTAAACTTGAGAGCGTGCAGTCCCCACACTTGATCTTTACGGAGAAGGAATTAAACAAACTGGCCGTAGTAATGCATTGAGCTGCTTTGTAATTAATTCATTAATACATTTTATTAAGTAAGTGCTTTTCAAAAAGTCAAAGACACTTTACAACGGGGATAAAATAGAGAGAAGAACTACAAAGAGACAATACAAGTAGTTCATTTCAGTTTGAGAACATTTAAAAACAGCAGTGAGGGATGACGCTGATTTGCCGTGTATGAGTTCCTGCGCTGGGTTTCACCTCCATTCCTCCCTCCCCGGTTGTGCGTCTGTCTCCAGGCTGTAAGCATGTGAAGGGGATCCTGCTGTTCGGACCCCCGGGCTGTGGTAAAACCCTAATGGCGCGACAGATTGGCAAGATGCTGAAGGCCCGCGAGCCCAAGATCGTCAACGGCCCCGAGATCCTCAACAAGTACGTGGGAGAGTCTGAGGCCAACATCAGGAAGCTGTTTGCAGACGCAGAGGACGAGCAGAAGAGGGTGAGGGGAGGAGGCATTGCGTCATATACTCGCATGCACAAGAGCCTTTACTTTTATCATAGTTACATACATTAAAAACTGCATGAACTTTCTCAGGGACTAGGAACCCCTTGATGAACTCGTTCTGTTTCAAACCGCACGGCCCAGAGTCTAAATCAAGTTTTGAGGACATTCTGACCCCCTAAAGAGGTCCTCGTCTGGGGTCGTACTTTCTGAAAGTACAGGAGATTTCGGGGTGAGGTTTGCAGGGATGACCGTCACTGATTGGTCAAACACACACACACACACACAGCTTCAACTCGTGTACCGCTTCATTCATAAAACAAGGAAGTACTCTAGATATGATTTTGGACGAGAGGAGAGCGTTTCTCTTTGTTTGAAGACATTAAAAGTAAAGTTAAGCTTCACTGTCAGCTTCCCAACTCATTTTATGAAAGAGAGAAAGAGAGTTATGTTCTAAATGATTTACGATTTACGCGCTTAGTTTCATTTTCCTCCTCTGCTTTTCATTCATTACATCCAACTTCAGCATCGGTAAATACTTTGCAGCAGTAAATTCAGTCGCAGTGAGACAAAACCTACATTTATTTCTTTTTCATCGTGTTCTTTAGATTTAACCGGCGGGCGCACTGAAGTGTGTTCAGCCTGCGACCATCAGCAGCTCAGGTCTTCAGACCGCATTGGAAGCATAGACAACAACGGGCAGAAGGAGCATTTCAGTTTCTTGAAAAGTAGTCCTGGAACTAAAATAACCAGGAAGTTGTTGGTGGAAACGCGTCTGAAGTGAGCTTTCAAAAGATGCAGAATTTAAACCACAGCAAAAATGAAAAGCCCACATGTTGGTGTTGATGAATGAGTCTGTTTTATTACAGCTTCCAGAGGCATCACTATACCTGCATTGCTTTAACTTTGCTGACCTTATTATCTACGCATCAGATAACAAGTCTGGCTTCACGAAGCAGAGATAAGCATTTCATCTCTCCAAACTAATTTCTCCAGGAGTGGAGAGATCTGCCCTTTAGCCAGACGTAGCTGTAATAACTCTGGTAAAGTTTGTGTGTGTGTGTGTGTGTGTGTGTGTATAGAGGGTTGTGCATTGAAACCCAGCAGTGATGGTCGGTTTGGATGGGGTGACACTAGCGTCGAGCCGCCTCACTCTTCACCACCTAATGAGGGGCTGGGCTGTCTTTGACCTCCTATTTAGACCTCCCTACACACACACACCATCCAGTGTGTAATAAGGACAGCTCCACACCTGTGTTAAATGCTACGGCTGAGACTGACGGGTCTGTAGATGGAGGGATAACCCCCCACCCTGCTGCTCTCTCTCTTTTTCTCCATCTGTCTCTCAGTTGAGGGTCACTGTTGGTTTTCAGCTCAGGATGAAAAATCAAACATTGGCTGAGTCTTTGTCGTCTTTATGTCTCCGAAAGAATGCATTAGAGGAAAATATTGACATGAGTCTATGTATGTATGTTTGGAGAGACAGTTCATGGTTTCTTCTGTTTCTCTGTCTTCCGTGTGATTGATAACTAAACCTGAAAAATATCGTTTCATTCAAAAGCCTAAAATCATTTGACATTCAATGCATTTTGTGCTGAGACAGCGGTAATATTCACATGAATCAAAATCTGTGGATTTACTGTAATTTAATAACTTCACAAGACCCTAATTATTTCAGTTCCAGCTCCACAATTCTCTAGTTTAATACATTCATTTGCAGACTCTCAACTCTTCAAAAAGTTTAGGTTTTTTTTAGAAGAACATATTTTAATTTAATTATTTTTTCTTTCATATATTTTCTATTGTAAAATGTCTCTTGACGTTCTTATTGTCATGCACCAAAACACCAAGACAGTCCTTTTATGTGCAAACCTGCAACTTTCTGTTTCTGTAAAATACAATTTCTTTAGAGAACAATTCATCAGAATTTCATATACAGATACATAAAGATGCTGGAGGTTTAAGCAAAGACAGTGCATGTAAATATTGTGTTTTTATTTCCAGTCCACCCAGTAGCCTTTCTTTCTTTCTCTCATTTATTCCCCCCCCCCCCCCCCCTTGCCTCTCCGCTGCACAGCTCGGTGCGAACAGCGGCGTTCACATCATCATATTCGACGAGATCGACGCGATCTGTAAACAGCGCGGCAGCATGGCCGGCAGCACGGGAGTCCACGACACCGTGGTCAACCAGCTGCTGTCCAAGATAGACGGAGTGGAGCAGCTCAACAACATCCTGGTCATAGGTGCTCACACACTAACACACACAGAGTAACACACAGGCTCTCTCTGAACATCTGCACTCTTAACTCATCTCTCTCGTTCCACTATCTGTCCCATCTGTCCCTCCCTCAGGTATGACCAACAGGCCCGACCTGATAGATGAGGCCTTGCTGAGGCCTGGAAGACTGGAGGTGAAGATGGAGATTGGTAAGAGGGTTTCACTCTGGTGTTAACGGTTTATCTCCGTAGACTGGAAAGGGAGTTAAAAGTAATGCAGTTAGTTTAGACCAGCAGACCTGGTGAGGTAGTGTGCATGAGTTAAAGACGTAATAACTCTTTTTGTTGAAGCTTCGAGTCCCGTGTGTCCCCTCTCTTGCTTCCAGGGTTACCGGATGAAAGAGGCCGCATCCAGATCCTCCACATCCACACGGCGAAGATGCGTCAGTACGAGCTGATGACCCCTGACGTGGACATCAAGGAGCTGGCAGCGGAGACAAAGAACTACAGCGGTGCCGAGCTGGAGGGCCTGGTCCGAGCTGCACAGTCCACTGCCATGAACCGACACATCAAGGTACTAATTACCGGTCCGTGTCCATTCACTCTCTCTGATTGGAGAAGAGGACTTCTACGAGTAATTACTACTTTAGTTCATAAAATATCAGCTAATGAGTCTTCAGCCGTTTCTGCACTTGACATCCACATTAAAATAAATACAATCCTCTTGTATACCTCTCTACATTTATAAACCGCTTTAAGCTTGTTTTCTTTAAAGCACCCACTGGATTAATGTTGTGTGTTGCTAAGTTTAAGGTGCAGCCCACACACCTGACACGCATAGCACACACTGCTGTATAGTGCCAGTTTAAGGGTGTGTGTGTGTGTGTGTGTACACATATTTATATATGCCTTCACTTAAGTGTTTTATCAGGTGCATAGGCTTAAGTTGGACACACAGATAAGGTGAAGTTCTCATCTGTTAAGCGTTCTGCCCCCCCCCCCCCCACACACACACACTCTCTCGCAGCAGTAGATATTGGAGGGTGATGATAAACGACAGACAAGGGTCTTACACATGTCTGATGGCCGTGATGTTTCTCTTCACTCCTCTAAACACTTCTTCTTCCCTCCTCCTCCTCCTCTCGGTCTGACCTTTCTGCTCTGAGGGAGTAAATTGTCTGCTGACACATTGTGCAATCTAAACGCGCAATACTTCATGTAATGGGTTTCATTAAGGGGGGGGGGGGGGGCATGGAGTTCATCAGGGAATGAAAGCAGCTCATCATCTTGCTTGTCGTTCATCTCGTGTTGTTTGTTGCAGGCCACTAACACGGTGGAGGTAAACACCGAGACGGCAGAGAAGCTGCAGGTCAGCAGACTGGACTTCATGACGTCTCTGAATAACGACATCAAACCTGTAAGTTTGTCTCCGTCGCTCTCTCCATCTCTCTTCTGTGTCTCCTTCTGTTTCTATCAAACATGTTTTAGTGGAACATAAAGTGGAATAAAGAACACATGACATTAAAGCTCGGGTGGTGGATATTTTAGACAATTCTTTTGTTATATTTGTTGAAATTGTCTTTACATCCCGACAGCAATAAAGAAATCTAAATCTGGTATTTGAGGCTGTTGCGTGATTGTAATGAGCCTGTCCAATCGTTTAATTTGGCCTGAATGACCTGCGAGATTTAGAGAATTTTGTAGCTAGTGCTGCTAGCTCCTTTCATTGTAAAAACATTGTCAACTCTGGGCTGGGTTTTTCAGTTGGATAACTTTTAAAAACTTACGATTAAAAACACGCAAACCCTAGTTTGTCAAGATTACAAAACAGTTTACAGTTTATATTTTCTTTAACACTTGACACAACACACTCAAACAAAAAACGTCAACCCTAAACTCTCTCGCCTCTCTCTCTCTCTTCCCGTCCAGGCGTTTGGCACCAATCAGGAGGACTACGCCAGCTACATCATGAACGGGATTATCCGGTGGGGCGACCCGGTGTCGGCGGTCCTGGAGGACGGGGAGCTGCTGGTGCAGCAGACGAAGAACAGCGAACGCACACCGCTGGTGTCTGTGCTGCTGGAGGGTAGGACGCACACACACGTCCACAGTCGGCGTGCAACAGATGAACACAATACAAACTGCAATATGTTTTGTGACTGACAAGAAATGGAAGTTTGTTTGTGTGACTACAAACGGCTGATTAGTGATTGATCCTCTCCCCCAGGTCCACCTAACAGTGGGAAAACAGCGCTGGCTGCTAAGATCTCGGAAGACTCCCAGTTCCCCTTCATCAAGATCTGCTCCCCCGACAAGATGATCGGACACTCGGAGATCGCCAAATGTCAAGCCATCAAAAAGGTAAAATAAAAGTAGAAAGTCTTGAAATATAAAACTGAAATTAAACATTGGCTGAAACTAAGAATCGTTGTGTTTTTGTTACCTTAGAAGGAGCCCTTCATATCTACATAGGGAGCAGGTCCTCTTCGCGGAGTCCGCCATGTTTCTACAGAAGCCCAGAACAGACAAACCAAACACGGACTCTATAGAGAGACTTCCACCTTTTTACGTTACTTGAAGGCCACAGTAGTTAGCAGAGGGGTATTCAGTCGGTTGCAGTCTTTAACCTCACCACTAGATGCCACTAAATCCTACACACTGCTCCTTTAAGTACAGCCGAGGCTGATGGGAATGTAAATTTTACACACTGGAACTTTTTAAAGTTACAATCTCGTTTAGATCTCGAAGATCTCTGTTTCGGTCTCTTTAGCGGCACCTGAACGGTAATTGCAGGTGTGTTTTTGGGTCTCACTTCCCTGAGATCGCTGCTTCTGTTACCTCATTTGACTCAGAACATTTATTTAAAAGTGAATATTACTTTAAAGACTCTTTTTTTATATTGAAAACATTTACAAACACCATTTTGAAGTCCAAACCAACATCCGTTTACTAATACCACAAAAGAAGTCCTTCTTTTTGGTGTTTTCAGGTCATGCACAACGCTGTGTGCCTATTTCTGCTGATCTGAACCTGTTTGTTGTACTTCTATTCCCTGTGATAGATATTTGAAGATGCCTACAAGTCCCAGCTGAGCTGTGTGGTTGTGGATGACATCGAACGTTTGTTAGGTAAGATTGACCGTCACTGTAATACGGCAGCTGATGAGTAGAGTGACATTTTTCAGATACATTTTCTTTATTTGGATGTGCATTAAATTGAATTTGCTAATAGAAAACGATCCCTCTCCTCAGACTACGTCCCTATTGGCCCTCGTTTCTCCAACCTGGTGTTACAAGCTCTGCTGGTGCTGCTGAAGAAACCTCCTCCAAAGGTACCGAGCGCTTTGTCGTGGTATTTACTTGTAGCGTGCTCACTGTGCGGCTGCTAGTCCTTAGGTGGCAGAAAGAGGGCGGCAGATCTTATGGATGCCAGCGCACAAGTCTTGTGAGGAATTGTTGGAGGTCTCTGGCTGCGGCCGGTGTGCGTGTGCGTGTGCGTGTGCGTGTGTGTGTGTGTGTGTGTGTGTGTGAGAGAGAGAGAGAGAGTGTATGGTTATTAACGAGTGTTTTGGTCCTGGCCCTGTTGTGCTCACAGTGAATGGTGGTGGTAGGGACCCATTTCTCATAGTTCCTTTGGTTGTAGTGTGTGTCTGTTGTTGACGGGTTTGTGAATGAGAGCATAGCCCACTATATTGCTGCATGTGCATGAGAAGTGGCGCGGGGCCTGGCGCTGAATGCCTGGCTGCAGTGCTCCTCTGGGGTTGTAAAGCGCTGGGCCCAGCGGGGTGCCTGGGGCCGGGGGAGGCCAGGGGGACACGGAGGAGAAAGGGCTCTGTGAGAGAGCCAGGACCTGGCAGCGCCGCCGCCTGTGTGGCACCTCATCTGCATGCAGCATCGCAACCCCCCACGCCATGGGGGGGCAGCCGGCAGCCATAATCCCCCTGTCTGCTCGCCACTCCTCTGCCTCTCCTCTGCCTCTCCTCCTTCGTCTTCTTCTCCTGGTCCTTCTCCAACTTGTCGGCTTAGCGGAGCTACATTTCTTTCGCTTCTCTTCTTTCTCCTCCGCTGTTGTCTTCTGTTGTGCCGTGCTCTGTTCTGTTTGTCCTGTTATTTTCTGTTGCCTGTGCTCTTGTTGTGACTTAAAGCCCCCGTACACTGTCGAAACTTGGAGTCGCACCATCGTGAGAGAAATGTGGTGAAACGCCGCTTCCTAGATCTCACCGTGAGACACCGGCCGATAAGAGCTTTGGCGACGTGATGCAGCCAAAATCTTCTGTCACGATATAGGTCGCTTCATATCTCGAGAACAATATACATCACTATATATATGTACAAATGTATATGCACTACATTTGGATTGTCAGCATTTTTGAGGAAAGGAAAAACAAACGACACTATCGCCAAACGTTGTTGTTGTTGTTGTTGTTGTTGTTGTTGAAGTCCTCTGTTTGCACTAATGTCCACAATCCAAATGCTGGTAAGAGGAAAGCAGCTAAAGAATATGAACAAATGAATAAAAAAATCAAGTCTGAGGTCTCGTCTGCTTCTCTTTCAGGGTCGTAAGCTGCTGATCATCGGCACCACAAGTCGTAGAGACGTCCTCAAGGAAATGGAGATGTTGGATGTTTTCAGCACCACCATCCACATCCCCAACATCTCAAGAGGAGAGCAGCTGGTCGAGGCCCTGGAGGTAACACACACACACACACACACACACACACACACACACACACACAGACAGTTGATGTTTACTCTGTCAGCCAAGGTGTAAAATATGCTTTAATGTGAATTACTTCTATGTGGACACACGCAGGCGAGGCGACATTGTTGGCTGATATTTGTTGTCCTGTTCCTAAACACATTTCCCAGTTAGAATGATGAACTTTCTTCGTCTCGTCCCTGCAGCTGCTCGGCAGTTTTCAGGAAGTGGAGCGGGCGCACATAGCTAAAGCTGTGAAGGGCCAGAACCTGTGGATCGGCATAAAGAAGTTGCTCATGCTGATTGAGATGGCCGTGCAGGTGAGGAAGAGATACCTTTGGTTGCATTCGCGTTTGTAGTGATGTCAATCTGTCTGTCAACCACTTTGGCCCAGACTGAAACGTCTCAACAACTTTTGGAAACATTTAAACAGATATTTAGGGTTTCCTAAAGTTCGTTCCTGATACATTTGGTGATACCCTCACTTTTCTTCTTGTGCCACTGTGATGTTATCCTTATGTGGTTTTAAAGGGGACGTATCAAGCAAAATTTTAGGTTCATACTTTTATGTTGGATTTCTACTTGTATAATAACACTTTATATTTAAAAGAAGACATGGAAATCTTTCTAAAAACGTTCTACAATATGGAACCTTTAAGTGAAATGTAACAAGGGCTCATATAAGCTAACGAAAACACAAGAATTCTTAGTTTCAGGTGATTATACACTAACGAAAACACAGTTATGAATAATATATTCAATTCCTGCCAGTAAATCCCTCGTAATCCTACACACTGTACCGTTTAATGTTTTGCGCATATTGGCCGATCTTAGCATGCTAAGCTAAGATGATGAACATTATACCTGCTAAACAGCATGTTAGCATTTTCATTGTTAGCCTGTTAGCGTGCTGACTTCAGCGTTTAGTTCAAAGCTCTGCAGTGCCTAAGAACAGCCTCACAGGTCTGCTAGCATGGCTGCTGACTTTCATTCTTGTTTCTTTCCAACATCAAAAATGTTCACATCGTTACTGGCTGGAAGATGTTCTTATGGGAAGTGTGATGCTGGTGTGACTCCATGTGCACTGGTGGTATTAAAAGATCGAACTGGGTGAAGGTAGCAGCCTTGTCTTTTTCAATTTCTTTTATTCTGAAACACAAATAGTTGTTTTTGTAATAGTGCGGTCTGACCTCCAGCCGCCCGTCCCTCCTCTTCCTCGACACATCTGGCCGGCATTCTCACCAGTCAACAACCGTCTCCGTCACAAAAAACTGTCATCTATTAGCTGGAATGAAAAGAAACTGTGCGTCTTTCCTGATGATTTGTTGAGCAGGAGGATCCAGAACATCTCTAGTTCACAAACTACTCTCCAAACAGTTTGGATTCAATACGTTCAGAGTTGGAGAAACCTTTTCCAAAGTTACGTTCACATGTTCTGAATCAGAGGGAAGCGACTCATGAGAACAATCACGCACACCTCGTGGTTTTGGTGTACCTACAATTTAGAGCAAAATCAATAAAGATCAGTCATCCAACACATACGGCAGGTTAACAAAAAAACCTGCACATTAAACCCACCCAACTGTGGAAACACAGACCACCAACTCACAGCAGATTGTTGGCTTCCTTTCAACACGTCAGTCGTACACATGGAGATGAGTCGAGGAGGTGAAAAGTCTACTCACCTTTTTTACAGTGTCTTTAGGGGTTTTGTGGTTTGGACTTTGAGTTTTTTACATTTTTTTTTAAGTCCCTGTTGACATTTGTGTAGTTATTTCTGTTTTGCCGTGAACCCACATGATTTACTCTTGAAGGAGCCCCGACCCTGTCAAAGCACCAGGGTAAAAATCAATGTGATTAGTTCTGTAAGAAGTCGCGACCAGTCGTACATCAAGACCCTGAGACGCAGTGTTCCTGGGAAGCTGAGGCGGGTTTACACCAACATTTAACTTTTAAACCTGTGTAAGTCATAATTTAACTTCGTTCCATGTTGCACCGAACTTAAACTAGCTTAAAATTAGGAATGATCGAATTTAAACCTCTAAACCTAGATTAGATTAGAACTCTGATTAGAACTAATCTTGGATTAAATTAATCCTTGTTGGTGCAACACAGCCACAGTGATTTGAATTGGACCATAAGGACGAGTGGATTTTAGACATTTTTTACAGAATTTTAAGTAAATAAATAATAAATTTTTGCTTAAAAGGAAGCTCCCTTCGGTTCAGATTTAACCTCCGTTCTGTGTCGGTGTAGGAACACGTCGCTCCGGAGGTGGCAGCTCTATTGCATGCATACTGAACCCTTAAACTCGGCACAGGGCCAGCTCTCACGTGTTAAGTTTGTGGTTTTGGTTTGGATACAAAGATGCTGTATGTGTTGATCTAATGCATATTATAATTGTAAATTTAGGCCATAGTCAGGTTTGGATTTAAAGGGGCAGTTCTACATGTCAGTCAGTCTTCTCGTCACTAGAAAGTGGAGCCCTCATAAAATAAACGGCGCTAGACGATTGGTGAAGACCTGCAGGGGTTGCTAGTTAAACACCTGATGCCGGTTGGCTAATGGCTAACACATTAGCAAGCCGTGGAGCAGTGCTACCACCAGTCACTATAGCTTTCTGAGCTTCTTGCCATCTTTAGCGGCCTCCAAATAAAGTGTGTTCACCCAAAGCAGGTGGCTGACTCACAGCAGCAGAAACTGACCTAAATCTGACAGTTAACTGGCGTTAATTTCTCCCCCTGAATGTGTGTCTGTGGTATGTTGATGATGTGTACCGCCTGTGTGTTGAGGCTGGATGCTGTGTAATTGCTGTGGTATGCACAAATGCAGCCCTGCCCCCCCCTCCCCCACACACACACACACACACACACACACACTGAGCCTGAAGAAGTATGAGTCCGTGTTTGCTGAGACATGCTGCAAACAGCCACACAGCAACACACATTCATACTCAGTCTTCTCTTTTCCTCTCATTCCGATGTTTCTGACTGCTCTCATGTCTTCACTCTAGTAGCTACAGGCAATTCCAGACACACTGTAAGTTATTGCATAGGTTGCCATTCATTTAACCCCCCTCTACAATCCCTGTGTGTGAACTGAAGCGTGAACTCCAGGACCCGCCACTACAAACTGCTTTCATGTTTCAACACCTTGCTTCTGAATTTTCAAATGGACCAAGATGCTTGTGCAGAAAGAAAAGAAGACCTGTTAGTAAATGTACTTTAATGACATTATATACACTAAGAAGTATTCTGTCTCTCTTCCAGATGGATACTGGCTACAGAGTTAGCAAGTTCCTGAGTCTCCTGCAGGATGAGGGAGCGTAAGTATTCTTGTCCTGTTCCTAACCCGACTCGTCAGTGACACTGAACACTCCCAGCACATGTCTCTTTCACCAGTCCTCATTTACAAATGTAGCAGAGAAAGGAGAAGGAAAACTAGTTAGAAGTACTAACAGTTTACATTCTGATCATTGTATCAAGTGTGATTAATAATAGACATGTTGTCTTTCTTTCCTCTGCAGACTGGGTTCTGATAAGTTCATCTAGACTCAGTGGAGCCACATAGTAAAGAAAGAGCATCCTTCAACGGTAAGACTGCAGGGCCTGCATCAGGCCACACGGTCGCATTCACTACTCACCACTTCCTGTCCGGGGTTCAAGGGAGCTAGCTAACGCAGAAATCTGTAAAATGTTTATGCATGAAAAAAAAAATTAAACATACAAGTGCTGGAAAACTCAATATATCATTTTGTAATTCAGATTCCACTATTTGATGTTGTTGTTTTGCAATTTCTGTATCAAATTAATTGTATTTTTTAATCATAAAAGTCACAAATTTCATTCACCAAATTGTTTTAGAAGAATAGTTTGACGTTTTGGGAGATACGCTTATTTGATGAGAAGATGAAAACCACGTCCACGTGTTTGGTGGATATGTTAAGTTGGAGCTAGCCACAAGTTAGCTTAGCTTAGCACACCAACAGCTCATCTCAAAGGTCTTTGGACACTTTAGTGCGATTCATTTGCACATCGATAAATATATATTTTTCAAACTGTTGTTTTTGTTGAGTACTTCCACACAGAAGGTGAATATTACTCAGCGAAAAAGTGTAACGTAATGTAAAAATCTTCAGAGTGAGGTTGATTTTTCTGAACTTTTGCATCACGAATAAAGTCATCAACCAATCACGTTGTGCGGAATCGGCATATTCACAATGTACACTATACTGTACAACAACACGGCTAACTATATTATTCACTTCAACCTGGACAAAGGCAGTGCAGACCAGATCCACTCCCTCTGTTCCTTTCACAATAAAATACATATACACCGAGTAACTTTATGTATTTTTGCTAAAAGGTGTGTATTGTGGGCAGTTATTCCTGGAGTTTTGTCATAAATAACCTCACTGTTTCCAGTCTTTATGCTAAGCTAACTAGCTGTTCTCGCTTGGCGAGAAAGTAAACATTTCCCAAAATGTGGAATCATTGATTATTATTCTTTATCTCTGGCTATCTATAGTCCGTAGTAGAGACATTCTGAGGGTATGCCTGTCTAACTGCATGGATGTCCACAGTGACTTTTTATTGCGGGCACTATAATCACATAAAATTATAAGAACAAGCAGACTCTGCGGCAGCATCGTGGGGGGAATTTCACAAAATGGGATTAGAAAGTTCTCCAGATAACCGTAAAACTATTGTCCTACATCCGCATGTTGATAATGGCAAAGTTCCAGAAGACATTCCTCTTTGTTTTAAAGTTATCTGGCTAATCCTGCTCTGTGAGACGCGTCCCACGAGGACGGGCTGCCCAGGGTGACGACGAACAACATGAAAAACTCTGAGCAACTTTTCAACTTGCAGCCGGAGCTTTGCCTCTTCTCATCTCCGCCTCCAGAGACGCGCCGTATAGTTAGCGCGCGGCGTGCCTAGAAATAGGTCGACTACACAGGTGCTCTCCTGTGGCGGCACGTCTCCCTCGCACGCCTGTCTCCTCTCACTTTTGTTTGTCTCTGATCACTCAGCTGCGGAGGAACGGAAGCCCGAGAGAGAGAGGCTGGCAGGAGGAAGCGAGCGAGAGATGAGTTCCCATCTTTTTCTCTCTCTCTCTTTGCGTCCTTTCCCTCCCGTCCCCGAAGCTCGGTGCACTTCTCTCTGCACTGCAGCAGCAACCAACCAGGCGAACCTCCTCCTCTTCAGCACTATGTCAACATGTAACATAACACACACACACACGGGCAGTGTTTGTGGTATCTGTGTATATTGCGTTTTGCTGAAGACTACTGCTGTCATCTCCATGTGATGCCCCAAGAATGTCTTTGGGTTATTTTTTATATATATAAAAAAAAAGAGTCCGGGCAAAAGATTTAGAAACCTTTGTATGGCCGTAGATGTGCATGCACAAACACTAATCACAACACTGTTTGTTTATAAAGGACACATTTGTTTTATGTAATCCGATCTTTCCAAAGACGGCTCCATCTCTTAAAAATCTCACTTTGTTCTTAATGTACTTGCTCGTGTCTTTTTATTTTATGAATAAATTAACTATATTGCTACTACTAAGAAGAAACTCTGCATTATGTGATATGAATGAGGGAGTGAATGACCAGCAAATGTTATAAAGTGAGTCACCTCACACCACGGGGGCTCGTGCTGCTTTAAAGATGTGTTTCTGTGATAAAGTACAGGAGTCCAGTAAAAGATCCTCAGACTAATATCAAGGAGTTTGTTCCAAAACCTCTCTATTTTAATTACCAAGTGTTCCTGGCATGTTGAACTCATAAGGACGTGTCTTTATAATTATGATCGAGTGTAATTATCTCGTAATCATGACACACTTGACGTCTCGTGATGAGATGAAGCTACTCAGACATTCGCGGTTAACCTCCACAGCATCTGCAGCATGTTGTGTGAGAGTCACACCGCTCAACAGGAAAACACAGTCGGCTGTTTAACCGAGTAGCTCCTGCAGAACGTCTGCGTGGGCGCCGGTGGGACTTCTCCCTCGGGTGCAGATTTCTTGATCTAGTCCTTCAGGATTGTGGACCCAAAGTTGCAGAACATATTTATTTCGGGTATTAATAACAGGATCATGCTGCAAATGGAGATTATGTTGCGACCATTTCTTTTATTTGTATTTTGTGTGCCATAATTCTACATTTCTTGTATGTTTTTGATGATTGAGATGTGATTGTGTCACCTCATCTGGATAGTATGCCCTCTAAAATGTAACTTCTGTACAGTGCAAATTAACAGCCAATTCTTTAATAAGAATCCATATTTATGACTATTCTATATTTTTCTTATCAACAAATGCCAGAAAAAGACCACAACCAACAATGCGTTTGTTTGTCTTACAATATAAGTAAAAAGTTTAATTTCATCCTTCAACATCTTCTCGCCGTACTTTTTAACAAACGTTACTCAAACAGGAGGAAATAGTGAATTGTTTGGGGACTATTTTCAGCGGCGGATTAATCCACATTTGGCGCTGTAGTGAGTATTTCGAGCTGCAGGACAACAATATGTGTGACTGAAGATGAATCGTGTGTGTTCATGGTAATAAAAAAATAGTTTTAATAGGTTTTGGACAACAGAGGATGAAGATATGTCACTGTTGGTTATTTTGATTGAATTCGTTTTTTAAATGCCTCATTTTAAAATGCATGCAACTGTAGAAGAGAGTAAGGTATCTAAAGATGAGATATGTAACCGTACTATTTATTAAGCATGTAGAACTTTGTCTCACAGTCTTGAACATCCGTTCGGTGGAGAAGTGTGAACCTCTGGCTACAAAGCAAAAAGCACGAGACAGTTTTGTTCTTCAAATATATAATCTTAGTTCAGTCATACAGATATATACATCGTATAATAAATAATATTTATAAAAACATAACATTTACGATTATAAAATAAAAAGGGAATTATTCACTTTAAAACATTTGTACAAAACTTTGGATATAGCGGGAGAAGTGGAGGGGGACTGAACACGGGGAGGTAGTCCCAGGTGGGAGGAGGACACGAATGCTAAGCTACGTCACACAGAGAGAGGACAGCCTACACACTACTGGTGCTTTCTGTTTGTTCAATGCAATTAATAGGAAGCAGGTGGGACTGTCGGAACATGTCGTGTGGAAACCTCTCATGGTTTGTTCCACCATCGCCAACAGCCATCCGTCCGTCCATCCGTTTTTTCCATTCACTTGTTTGTCACTGGCAGCCGTCACACACACACACACACACACATCTTGCACACATAAATCCTCCAGCTCCTGATGAAGTTTCCCAGCTTTCTTCTGCTTAATGTTCTCAGAATCTACATGAATTGGAAGTCTTTTCTGTCCAACCCCAAAAAATAACTTCCTTTTTTGACTGGGCAGACATCAAATTACAGTAGTGTTCTTCCAATATCCCTAAAACATGAGTTTTTTTTCTGAGTACAAGTTCATAAATCAGACTTCTCAAAAACCACAACTGTCCAACTGAGAGGAAAATGCAGAGAGAAGGAAGGAAGGAAGGGTTGTGAAAGCCAATCAGAAGCTACTCTGGTCTCCACATGTCGTCACACGTCCCCCTTTTTCCTTTTCTACGGTGATAAAAGATCTGCCTCAGACTAAAGCCTCTATGATGGACCTGATGAGTGCATGAAGTGTTGGATAACAAAAAAAAAGGATCTCCCTATAATCACTTTGCTCATAAGACCAGAATTAACATTAAGCATGCTGAAGCTTGACTCCCTTTGTGATGCATAAAGACAGCCACAGATGATCTCCCTCATACAATTCAGACGGCATCGCTCCTCGGATCGAGCTCGTTGCATCACGCGTGTGGAAGTAGTGAGCGGGTCGATCGAATGCAGGAACAAAGTCGTCATTCATAAGGAGTGCAAGCTTTGCAACGCATAAGCAATGCTTCAAATTTTAACCACCTGGAGTGGCTGAATAGTGTGTGTGTGTGCGTGTGTGCGTGCGTGCGTGCGCGAGCGCGAGCGCACACACACACACGTGTGTATGGTTGTTGGTGGAATGAGCATGCTTGTTCACACACATGCCGCATAACTCCAGTCCCAGCCCAATGGTAATATTTCAGAAATGCAGGGCTATAAAAATCAAGACTGTAGCATATATATCTTCTCCGGTTGACTGGTGCGGTCGAGGGGAGCAGCAGCACATGAGGATTTCATCAGCGCAGTAGTTTACAACAGAACAGCTCAGTTCAGTAGTTACAAAGTGATGGTTTACCGGGGCTGCCGACGTGTTCGCGTCACTGGTAGAGGTTGGTTTAGTTTAAAAAAAAGAAGGTAAACCAGCCAAGACGGGCCGGAGAAGTGAGGTGTTAGTTAGAAGATGCTTTTTTTGTTTGTTTGTTTTTTAAATTCAAAAGCAAAGAGTCTGAAAGTTCTTTTTTTTTTCTTTTTTTACTGCATTAATCTCAACAGGTATAAAAGTGTTACTGTACATGCAACACAAACATTGTGCTGGCATGGAGGGGGAAATAAATAAGGAAGGGGGGTCCAATGCTGCAAGGGGGAGGGGGGGGGCACAGCACAACTCGAGCTTCTTCCCATGAGAGTGGCCTAGAGCTCAGTCAGGTCATCACAAGCGTGTCAGATATGGAAATGAAGTGGTTTGGAAGACAGATTCTAGGGTTTTTACACAAAAATAAGAAGAAAGTATCCATCGATGATGTGCCATTAGGGCCTGAGTGAGTGAGTGAGCCAATGAATGTTTTAGTGTTTGGAAGCGGGGAAGTCGTGCAGGAGGTGGGGGCTTGAAGGGCAGGACTTGTAGTCCAGCAGTCCGAAAGCACAGGGCCTCTCTCTCTCTCTCTCTCTCTCTCTCTCTCTCTCGCTCTCTCACTTGCACGTGTGGACGTCGTAGACGCGCACGCACTCCTGACAGCTGACGTAGCAGCACCAGTGGAAGATGCAGTGGCACTTCTCCTTGCGCTTCTCAGTCCGGGTGTTGTGGCCGCGGCCGCAGCACAGCAGGTCGCAGCCCTCGATGCCGTGCGACGACACGTTGCAGGCCCGGTCGCGCGTCCCGAAGGAGCCGGTCTCCGGGTTGGGCTCGCAGAAGTTGGGCGAGCCCTCGTAGTAGACCAGGTCACGCTCGGTGGGGTGCTTGAAGAAGTTGTACTTTACGCGCAGTGTCTCCACCCAGCCGCGGGACTCGCGGTGCTTCTCCACCACCATCTCGGAGGCGCTGTCGTACTTGTCCTTCAGGTAGTCGCCCAGCATGCGGAAGTCCGGCTGCGCCCACCAGCACGTCTTCACCTCGCAGCTCCCCGACAGGCCGTGGCACTTACAGCGCAAGTGCATGTGATCGAGGATGGTCTGGGGAAACACAGAAGACACTGTTATGGTCACTTTGTAGGGATGTTTAAAGCCAATAGACCCTTTTACAGTAGGATGGCGTTCATAAGTGTTTGGCAACGGAAGTTAATTGGAGTGCAATAAGGTGTCAAGCTGCATAAGAGCATTGACCACCAAGGGTTCAAGATAATGATGCAACACAGGGATGCACAACCACATTCAGTCGTAGCCCACTTGTAAAACAACAAACACGACAAACATGTTTTGCGTCATAAGGAATGTAAAAAACAAACAATTCTCTGGGCAGATCATATGCCGACATGAGGAAAACATTGTCCATCAACTTTGTGTTTGGGTTGGCCAATGCAACCTAAACAACCTGCAACCTGCAACCTGTGTATTTGGTGGAAAAACCTCTCATGTAACGTCACACTAGTGAGAAATTACAAGTGACTAGATGATCCAACTCTGTTATGTGTTCATATACAGAACGAGAAACGCCATGATACAGACTCAGAGGTTTGACTTCATTGAGTCTTTATTTGGTACAAATAGTCCAGTTGTAGAAGCAACATTTGCCTTCTTTTGGATGTCTTCGTATGCAGTATGACTTGTTCTGCAGATGATTGTGCGTAGAGTGTGTTTTAGGGAATCACTCTCAGAAGGGATCGTTCGATAGCTTGCAGCTGTAGTCGCCGCCGGTGTGACGGGTTTAATGGGTGACCTGTGTGTTAACGGGTGACTCTAAGACGAGTGTGTCCGTGGACACATATTTGGACAACAGTGTGCATCCAACTTTGTGTCCACAGTTTGCTTGTTCCTTTGATGTGTAAGAAGTTGACCAGCGTGCTCAGAGCTCTGATCTTAACCCCGTCCAACACTTTTGGGATGAACTGGAACACCAACTGCAAGATGGATAGGGCCGCCCCCTCTTAGTCGATTAGTCGAGTAAACTGTGGCTTTTTAGTCGCTTTAGATTACTTTAGTCGACTAGTTGTTTTTCTGCTTTCTTTCATGCTGAATGACTGATTTACAAGAAACTTCTCTCTGGTAAACATAAGATTTACACTGGTGCTTTGTGTGATTCTTTGTGGGGAAACTAATTTTTCCAGATCTGTTGATTAAATCAACTAATCGCTTAGTCAATCAAATCGTACATCGTGCGTCTGTAGTTGCTCGTAGTGACGGCAGTTGTTGAAAACACCAACAGAACATGTAGGTGTCCTCGTAACAGCCTTCAGTCAACCAGGCATTCGGCTGAAAGTCACCAGTTAACACGGTCGCTGGTTAAACTGAAACACCTGTTGCTCTGAAACGGTCTTGAGTCTGTTGGGAAGTTCTGTTCAACTTGTTGGAATATTGATTCTGACAAGCAGACATTTTAACGCTGGTAACAGTTTTAATTCAACTCGTCTGGCTGGCTGGAGCAAACAAAGCGGCACTTCGGTTGCCAACATGCGCACGCATATTTCTGATGACGTCGACTGTAAAAGGGTCTATAGATGGATATATAGATATAGATATGTTCTAAGCTGGACCTGCTTTCATTCCTGTTTTTAAAAAAAAACATGTCCAACTTCGTAAAGCCTGGCAAGGATCCAACATGTAAGCTTTCATAACCCCTTTTTCCTGATCCCTTAAAGCAACACCCTGCTATAAATATATCTTCAGAGTCTGAAGTCTCCGGCCCTGGGCTTTAAAGCTTAGATTCACAGCAGGGAAAACGTTTCCTCGTAGACGGATAGATAATAAATAGATATAGAAACTTCTTAAATGCACAGACCTCTTCTCCACAGTGGATCCATATGTTCAGTGTGCCCTCAAACTACTTTCCCGTAGCCAAGAAATCCCTAAATACTCTACTTTTGGCAGAGCTTTGGAGCTGCGAGGTGGTGAGAAGTTTCTCCAGACGTTTTGACATTTGTTTGCCACTGGAATCCACTTCAAGGCTTTAATTCAAGCTCTTCTGGGCCACCTTTCAAGGCCTACGAGCGGAGGGAATTTGACACTTTAAAAAAGGTAGATTTTGGGTGTAATATTCCTTTTTAAAAAGCGTAATTAAGTTAAATGTGCTCAGTTAATTTGATAAGTGACTCTGTGCTCGTGTGGAAGTGAAGACAGTCACCACAGAGCAAGATCTGTCGGAATTTTAATGGTCATAAATTTACAGGAAATTAAGTAATGCAGACTGAACAAAACCGCTGAAGACTCGCAGAGCGGGGCCAAGAAAAACAATACGCCACTGGCTGCAATTTATTTAAGTGTCATACAGCTGTGAAGTACAGAGGCTCTGCGCTGCTGCCGATTCCCTCTGAAGTCACTGGCTCACATCGTGAGTGTGCCGCCGCGGGGCTTATCTCACCTTTTGTGTTTTGATTTTGTTGTGCTTTTAATTCAACGGCTATATTTAGCTGCAGAATTCCCCCAGCTGGGACGGAAGGCAGGTGGCTGTGGCACCTCTGGCTGAGAAAGGGGATAGTGAGAGAGGAGAGAGGGGGGGGGGGTCTAGTGACATCACTTTGTGAGCTTGTCATGCCAACATCAAGTCTCAGAGGGCCCCGGGGGCTAAATAATGGGAGCGTGAGAGGGCCAGGTGGAGAGGAGAGGAGACTCCTGACAGTGCCGCTGCTCACTTAGCTCCTGTGGTCTCCCCGGCTGCTCCTGTGCGCTCACATCAAAGGGGCCGTCTTGTTGCCGTGTGGTCCCTCCATTTGCCCCTCAGCGAGGCGCCGGGGAGACGATTTCTTCTCCGAGCGGTGACAGCAGCCAGTGATGTTTTAAGTCTGAGCTGATTCCCTCCCCTTCAACTCACTCGGGTTATTTGACTGTGAGGGAATTTTTTCATTGGGATGCAAAAGGCATGAAAGGCGAGGTGTGTTGCTTAGATGAGTAATTAACCAGTCATTCCAAGTCAAGTGCTCATTTTTAAGGCGGACAAGTCAAATACCGAATCCTTCCCACCGTCACATGAACACTCAGTAATCCCAGACTAATGTTTCCTGGATGAGTCCTCCTCCTTTTTGCATGACAGGTCGCTGTCCGACGCTTCCGTTTACCCATTTAGCTACAATCCATAGTACAATAGTACCATGTGTGCAGAGGAATGTCTAATGAAGGTCTCGTGTTACGGTGACTTGAGCACTTTTTGAACAGTTAGATGTCAGTACTTCAACAATGGAACCTGCTTCTGTCTTGCAGAGTCCGTCCCACAGTCCATCTTCTAACCGTTAAACCACTGCTGATCAGTTTAGTCTTGTGGGAATCAATATCAATACTATCTGTGCCAAAAGTATGCAGAGTCTTCTGTCCACTGCTGTGTTTTTGTGCGAGGCCCCTCAGTTGAAGTGAAGGGAAATGTTAAAGGTGCCAAGTGTGATATTCAGAACGATTTGGGATGAACTGGGAAACCAACTAAAAGACGGATAGGGCCGCCCCCTCTTAGTCGGTTAGCTGAGTAAACTGTCGCTCTTTAGTCGGTTAACATTACTTTAGTCGACTAGTTTCTGCTCTTTTTCAGGCTGAATGACATCTTTCCAAGAAACTTCTCTCTGGTAAACACAAGATTTACACTGGTGCTTGTGTGTGATTCTTTGTGGAGAAACACATTTTTCCAGATCTGCTGATTAAATCAATTGCTTAGTCAATAAAATCATACACAAAGAATTTCTTTGGTTGAGCCCCTAGAGCCAGACCCGATCACATGACATCAGGGTTGGAGCTCACTGATGCAAATCCCTGCAGAAATGCCTTCCAGAAGAATCCTGTGGAGAGCCTTCCCAGAAGATCGGAGACTTCTTCATGATGGCACATGGATTTGAAACAATCTCACGAGTATTTAGATGGTGATTATTATGTATGGTATATCTGTGCACATGCTCCTCAGGTGTCTCTAAATGTGTTTACCGAGCGTCCCGCCTCGTTGTTGTGTCGGTTCATCGCCGAGCGGGCGTCCGGACGATTCTCCCTGGCGTCGGCAAACTCCCTGGACACCAGCACCCCGAACTCTGCGTCCTCGCTGCAGCCGCCCCACTTCCAGCCCTCCCCGGGGGGGCCCTTGTGGTGAGAATCGCAGCCGCACATGGTGGACGTGCCCTCGGCGCAGGAGCGCGTCACTGCGAATGCCACGCCCGCTGAAGCGATGGCGTGGACGAACGCCGACTCTCTGGTTGCTGAGAGAGACGGATGAAGACAGACAGAGAGAGAGAGAGAGAGAGAGAGAGAGAGTGTGAGTCAATCTTGTGCTTAACATGGACAATCTTTACTGCTGCCAACATCCAGAGAGACATATTGAAAGGGATACATCCAGGCAATAACCTTTTAACACAACATCTTTGCAGAGGCATTTATGCACCGGTGATTGCCACTGTGAAACACAACAACCCTTTGGGAAAGAAACTTTTAACCCTTTTATTATTTGACAATATGTAAACATGCCTCCCAGTATTTACCACATGATCTTCGTCAGCGATGAGGAAGCGCACACTACATGAAGGAGCCTAAAAAGCAGAGTCCCTGCAGTGACATCAGCCCATTGTGGTTGTTGTCAGGAGGGCCTAACGCTCAGTGGGATCTCGGTGACCTCCTGTCATCCCTGAGGTGTGCTGCTTTGCATCTGGATAGTGTTTCAGGAATGTTATCACCCCCCCACACACACACACACACCTCCCACCCGTCCCTGTTCATAGCCCAGGGCCTTCTGGTGAAACCTAGCAGTGTGTCGGCCTGTTTCTTTTTTTCACACCAAAGGATGGAGTTACGCCTCCTTTTGAAGGCAACAGCTTATTACGTAACCGGACACCATTGTTTCACAATCACAGCACACTTAACGTGGCTCAGCCATTACACTCCGCTAGCTGTGTAACAGACATGCAATACAGACACACAGAGGGAGGGGGGTGGGGGGGGGTTCTGAGATCCACAACTGCGTGCTCTGAGTTTTGAAATATGTACGATCACGACCAGACAATTAGACCCACATTTTGCAGACCACAGTGGCTACTAAAGCCAGACATTCTTCAAGCTTTTCTGCTGCCAACGAGGCTTTCAAGACTCGATCAGAATCAAGTTTACAAGCCACAAACACAGTTTACTGATGTTTGTCTGGAGGCGGGTCATATTTCCCCACCCTGAAAGTGTCCGCAAGCAAAGTTGCAAAACAAAACTAATCCTGTTGATACTAGCCTGTAGGGCTAATATGTTGCCAATAGGATCAATATTTGTGCCGTTTGTCTGTTTTTCTGACATTGTATGCATGCTAATAATATCAAAGGTGAAATGTCAGATGGATCAACTGATGTGCCTTTTTTGTTGTGAAAGTGTAATGCAGATGCTGAAATACTGTAAATCACAACTATTTTCAGTAATATTTGAAAAATACTGAACCCATATGTTCACAGTATGATATGTTAGATGCATCTGATCTAAACGATGAAACTGTGTGTCTATGAAAGCTGTATTTCCACCGTTCATTCTCAGTAAAAGGATACAGTTTTGCTCTAAATCCCCAGTGCATGATTGGAAGACACTCCGTCCTCAGGTCGGGCATCCCTGCTCGCCCTGGCAGGCCTAGCTGGGCCCTCCACAACGGGGGCCTGTGAGCCCTGGGCCCCTGGAGCTCTGGCTGTTAGCCATGGCTAGCGCTGCTTCTGCTACCTGCTGGGCCCATCAATCCGCCTTTGTTTCCCTTGTGTCACACTGTATTATCCACACAAAGGGCCCAGCGACTCGCGCCCCCACAGCCTCGCTCTGCCCGGAGCTGGCATTCCCTAAACTCCCTCCCCCCCCCCCCCCCCTCTCTTCAGCCACCCCTCCGCCAACACCCTGAGCTGAAATCCCATACACCACCACGGCACCTCAACCCCCCACTTCCTCCCGGCATCCACCAACAGCACCGCCGTGGCCAACGCGCCGCTTAAGGTGGCTCGGGCTGGTGGTTGGTAGCTCTCCCTTTCCTAACTCCCAACTTTTCCATTCATCACTCCCAAAGTGAGCTGCTCTTCCTTCCTTCCCTGCTTCCTTCCTTCCTTCCTTCCTTCGCTTCCCCATCCCAAAGCGCACACCCGGGCTAGGGTTGGGAGAGATCCCCTTTCAGCCTGTTTTCATGACAGAGTCAAAAGGGCGTGTGAATGGGGCGTCCGTGGGAGCTGGACTGTGTGAGGCGCGCACTGGTCTTCATGCACAGTAGGGGTTGAGCGGAGCCCCCCGGCCCTTTTCTATTGCCTGTAATCTCATTTGGCCTCCCCTCTCCCTTTTATTTGACTGAGGAGCTTGGACTGCTCACACTGCCCAGTTCTGCCCAGATTCCTTCCCCTCTGACACACAGGGTAATTCATTTCCAATCAGCAGCCTCGCTCACGACACATAAACTTCTACCTTTTAGAATTAGGGACTGCAAGGCCTTAAGCGGGACACCTGTGTCTATTGTACCCCCCTCCCCGACTGTCAGGTTTAGTGGGATTCTCTACAAGGACACAGTCAGTGTGGCCATATCGTACAATTAGTATTCTGTTTGTGAAGCGCCTGATGGATGTCTCCAGTATATCAGCTGTGCTTGTCAGGTTTTGTTGATGGATTCTCACCGCGTTGACCCTCTTTCATGTACGTGAGTGTAAACACTGTTCGGGGGGGAAAAAAACTCCGAAGACGAATGCGATACTGGAGGTAAAGATGGATGGAAGTTGAATAATGTGTCGGAGCTTGTACCTGCGCCCATTTCTCACTGCAGAGCAGGAAAGGTGTATATTATTGTAATTGCCCTGGTTAGGCGTTTGTCAGCAGAAGCCCAGAGAACAGGCAGTGCTGAGCCTCAGGGTGTGCGTTTTGTAGCAGCTCGCAATAGCCTCAGCCAGAGCTTTTATACAGTAGTAGTTTTGGCACAGATTATTATTATTAAGCATTGCATACATATGTACATCGTCATTAAATACAGCAGCAAAGAGTCAAGCATACCTTTATCGAGCACAGGGCCGAAAATGGCCAAGTTGTCCTTGATGGTGGTGCAGTTCCACCGTCGGCCCCTGAACTGGTGCTGGCACTCCTGGATCCCCAGCTTGACCCCCTCCGCGACGCTGGGCATGATCTCTATGTAGTTGCGACAGAAGCGCAGCTGCTTGGGCACCAGGCCGGGGATGGAGCCGCACAGGATGGGTTGGGAGCCCAGAGACGAGTACTGCTGCCCGAGGGCCAGGGACCTGTGACACCAAGAGAGGGAGAAGAGAGCGCCGTCAGGTGAGACTCATCTCTGCATCTGTGTTAAGCACTATAGCGGACTAGGAATATAAAGATGTGCAACATGATCCAAAAGAGGTTTATCACCACGACCAAACACCTAAAAGGCCAGAACTTAACATAACTTAAAAAACAAAAATCACATTTCTTATTCTTTGCTTTTTAGGGTTTATATTCACTACTTTTTGGGTTTCCAGCAAAAAGTAGCACGAAAACTGTCAAGTAGTGAGTGAAAGCTGACATTTGTATGTTTAGACAGATTAGTATTCATTTTATAAGATAAGATTTTGCCAATTTTGGATGATTATATTTCAACACAACTCATTCCAACTTGTCACATACTGACGCTTTGTCAGACGCACCGGGTGGCCCACGTCACATCACTAGCCTAACTTCAAAATAACTCAACACCGGTCTCGAACACCGTCGACACAGTTACAGATGGGTTTACATTGTAGTTCCTTGACAGCGCGGTGCTCATACAGACGCTAAAGGGTGTCTAGTGCGTCGGTATCTGACATCCTGGCAATGAGAACGGGCTGCAAAGTCTCCTAATGCTGGTTGTGTTCAGACAACATTTAACATTTGTGACATTTGGCTTCCTTTTGTTGAATGAAACAAAAAAGGTTTTGCTGAAACGTGTGTAAACCTCTTGACGTTAGGTATTGGGAAAAGTATATTGCACTGGTTTCATCATGTAATACCAGCCCTAGTGCTTTTCCACTGTCAGAGGATGTAGGAAGTGAGACTGTTTGCCTCACAGTACAAGTCTGTGCCCTCCATGAGCTCCACCCTACAATAACAATGATGGTGACCTGCCAGGGAGGCCTCCCTCAAAGTCAACCAGCTTTTGGAGAGCAGATCACTTCTCTGTTCGTTAGTCTCAGGTTTAACTGTCAGCGTAGCTCAGTGATTTATTGAATTATCTGTTTATTGTAGTTTATACTGAGAGCTGCTGTTTATTTTTGTCTTTCTTTTTCCCACCAGGAGGGGAGGGGTTGTAGGCCCACTTCAGGGCAGGGATACAAGCTATTAGTTCTGACTCTTCAAGTGTTTCTACTTGTTAGGATACACAGATCTGCTGATCTAACAGATAACACACAAGTACTGTCTGCTTGGGGAAAAGCCCCCTCTCTCACACAATAAAACACCTGCGTCTGCAGCACTTCCATCACTGATTTGCGGTTTTTCCCTCCGTAGCTGATTTTGACAAGAACAGATGGATGAAAAAAAAAAACAGCATATCTGAAGATATGTGCCTCACCAGAAGGCTCGTGCAGATGTGCCCATGGAAGGGATTAATCACCACGACGAGACAGCCGAGATCAGCGCGTGATGCCAGAAACCATTATAGTTTCAATCAGGTAATTCACTTTAATTGCCTTCTATTTCTCTAGAAGTAAAAGTGTGAGAGAGACAGAGGGAGAAAGAAAACATATTTGCCGTGCCCGTGTTTTAACACGCTTTTTGTGATGACAAGCTCAAACAAAGGTGTGCTGTTTCTTCCACAAGGTTGTGCATTTACTGAAGGGTGTTGCACTCAAATGTCTTGTTTATTTATATCTGGCGCATCACCTGAAGACATGTTTCTGTACGGGGCCGCTGCGTTCTCGAGAGGCGATCGCTTCACAATAGATGTGTTGGCTGCGTCTGTGGCCGACAGCGTGGCGCTGGAGGCCTGCGACGGGATCACGGGGAACAATTGACGCCGATCAGATCAGAGCGCCGCTCGGGATGACCTCAGGACCCCCGCAGGGCGCAACCCAATCGTGGCAGCCACTGACTCTGACGGATGAGTGCAGCGCAGTGCCCCACCCCAACACAAAAGTCAAGCCATTGAAGTCACAGGAGAAGAAACAGAATAATCCCCCCCTTTGATAGGTTCTCAGCTCATGGGCGCTTTTGCTTTCTACATATGGCTACATATGCTACTAACAAAAAAAACAACCTGCCCCCACCTCCCCTCCCAAATATGTTTCTGATCTCCGGTATCACGGCTTACACGCTGAAACGTGCGACTGAGTTGTTTTGCTTTCACAGCTGGTGTAATGGAATATATGATGATCACATAATCGGCTAAAAGCCACTTGTGTTGTTTGCTTCCTCGCAGACATTGATGCACAACAAACGATTCTCACGTTTCCGTATGAAACGCTATCGGATCGCAGCACGGTTACATAAGCTATTCAAAACCCTCAAACACTGCTGTGCACGAGGAAGAACAAGTTTCTTGTTTCACATTCAACTCAATAATTCAAACTTAAAAAAATGCTGTTTTGCCCAATTCGATGTTCCCATGCAGTAATCCGATAGTGCTCATCAATCTCATTCATGTTCTTGTCTCAAGTTTAGCGAAGCGGAGGCAGCCACATTAGCTCATCCCATCGGGTCCCGATCCCGCCGACATCACTGAGTTCAAGTGTTGCTGACTTCACTCCGTCTGGTGACTGAGTGACTAAGGGCCCTTAATTACAACGTCTGCTAGCGTGGTTTCTGCCCATTAATCTCTCAAGTCGTGGGACGGACCAGAGTGGGTGATGCCCCTGAACACAGAGCTTGAATTTGAACCCCTGATGTCACAACTTCAGTCGGTTCACTCAGAAGGAAAATCTGAAAGTGAGATATCTCTGTGTTTAGACCGCCAACCTCTGCTACATCTCAGGCTCCATTCAGGACGGCTGAACCGCTTACCGACCACTCCGACATACTGGCTTTGCCAGTGAATTTGGGATTTTTTGATGGAATCAATCAGCTAACCGCATGGGACTTTGCGGTGGACGTCGCATGTTTAGACTATAGGCTGTGGATCTACCAGCCTATTTGTCTTTGTTTGCAAAGGATGTGCCTCACTTGATCCATATGGACAGATGAGATGAAAGGGGATATCTTTTTGGCTTGGTGCTAATGAGAGTCTTAACCCTGAGGGGTTATGAGGCGTATCGTGCAAACAGACACACATACACACACACGCAAACAGACGCATGCAAGCAGGCCACATGTGAGCCATGCTGATCCTGCCTGCTTGGCCTCACTTCTGGGAAGCCACGAGCAACATGTCTCAACCGAGCGAGGGAGCAGCAGACGCAGAGACCTCCGCAGAGGCAGAATGCCGGGGGAATCTGCTGCAGGGGACGAGACGAGCAGCAGAGCAGCAGCGAGCAGCAGGGCTTGGCAGGTGCATGCCCGGGCAGGTCCGTATGGGGCCTCTACTGGCCTGGGGGGGTGTGGTGGTTACGGCTTGGTTGGGGGTTTTCTCAGTTTTTCTAAACTGGGCTGATGTGAAAGTATGACGGGCCGCTGGAAACCACAGAAATGAAACGGAGGAAACAAAGGGATTCCACCACACACCTCGCTGAAGAGTGGAAATTCACGCAATCAAGACTGTAACACTGACTCAACCACTACCAGTGCAATAAAAGCACTACAATCTGCAGCAGGGTTCTGAAAAGTGGCAGCATCCTGCAGTTCTTTACATTTTGTCTGTGAGCAAGGAGTCTTGTACTGTCAGAAATATGTTGCAGCTGTTATTGTGGGAGGTCTGCATTACAGGGGTCAGTGTGTAGCACATGTCTGTGCACAGATGGGCTTTTCTTTGTGTGACAGCCTCCTGTGTCCAGAGGCACAAAAAGTACCAGGTGACCCTCTGAACCTGTCGAGCAGAACACGACACCTGACCTCACGGCCCACAGAAACAGTTTGAAGTTCATGACCAGGGTCCTGTGTACAAATATCTAAGAGGATGCTGGGTGCTGATCTCCGGCTTGTTTGCCTCGTCTATCAAAGTCATTACGATCAGGTGACAGCTCAGATTCTACCGTCATGTAATCTTCTATATACCTTGTCGGAGTTGTTGCCCATCTTTGAGTGAGGAGAATACAAACCAGGCCCTGACTTTGGTGTAATACATTTTGAGAACATTGCACAAGCATAACATGGCAAAGGCTTGAGACCCCCCCACACACACACGAGCGCACACTCTACATACTGATGGCCAAAACAGGTTATTACTTTGTGGAATAATTTCATGCATTTAAAAGTTTAGATGTTGCTTAGCCTCAGAGTGCACGTCTCATAATGTTTTTAAGTCTCCAAAATCTCCTCCAAAATTATACATGCATACATACATACAATAAATATTACTGTTTTGCAGCAGTAGGTCACGTGTCACTTCTGGCTGCCATCTTTGGTCATAATGCATAACAGCTTCTCTTATCATCTCATCACCTGCAGCTAACTCGGTTATTTGTTTTAATTGGATAACGTCAGAAGAATCTTTGAGGAATCTGCACACGTCTTCAAAACAGCGTTAAATGACCTGCTAACGTTAGCTAGCATTAAACGTTAGCACTGTTTCTATTAATGTCACGTTTTATCTTAAATCTAAAAGATGATTTATGCGGCACAACAGCATTTCTAACACACCTTTAATCATTCCGCATTCTTTATGTTAGTGAAGTACTTTTACTGCAAATTTAAAATAGTGTTTTATATTGTTGTCCTACTCCTTAATGCGCTCGCGCACCCAGGTCATTAACGTGACAGTAAACGTAACGTAAGTTCACGTAAGTTACGTTAAATACTATTTTGCTTCTGAGTCTCAGTTCCTTTGCTTAAGTACAAGATGAAATACTGAATTACAAGTCCTGCATTTAAGATTGTATTGAAGTAAAAGTACTTATTAGCAGAATGTACTTAATGTACTTCACTAGTAAAAGTACCCATAGAGGCAGAACGGCTCCTGTGTATATTAGTGGTGATTGTTATAATTAATAGATGAACATATATGCAGCATTTTAATGTTGATGCTGATTAACGTACTGTGGGATAGTTTACTTGATTTAAATGCACATTTGATAAGCTTTGTGTGTTAAGTTAAAGTAAATATAGCTGTTAGATAAATGCCGTTGAGTGAAAAGTTGAAGTAGAAGTCTAAAATAACAGAAACTGGAAATACTCAAAGTAT